ATGTTAAAATAGTTAGTTTGTCTACAAACTCTTTGTAGAGAAAATCTGCTTAGTACACATACTTTTCTTAAAGAATAATAACGACGTGCTAATATTTCAGGGTGTAATTGCTCAGATCATTTTATAAACAAAAGTTTATATGGCTTGCATTTTTTCTACAGGAAAAACTTTGGGATTACCTTAAAACACTTTTATTTAAATAAAACTTCAAAGATTAAACTAACATAGTTAGTGATGATACAAATTTTGTTTATTCTATTTATTTCATGTTTTATAATACATTTATTTATTAATATTAAACATATTTTTTAGGGAGCAAGAACTTACCATTTTTAAAGATAACCTATTAGGTATGTGCTTCAGATTTATCCGCCATCAATCAAAGGGTAGGCTGGTCTGAGACCTTTTTGTATTCTAAAACGATATCCCTTGTTTAGTGGTACTACCTACTATTTAACTAATCTATAGTAAAGATACAAATATATATGTATACAAAATATGTTACTTATAATATAAACAGTATACAAATCAACATTATGTATACCTAATACAATTTTAGAAAATCCATCGGGGAGCTATTTAGAAGTTCTAAAAGTTTTTAATTCCCCTATCTTTTGTAAAAATAGAGTTGTCTAATACTATATAACCCATTGGCCCACACCATGACCACAGACCCTAATCGAAAGATGGCGGATATTGAATTATTTCTCTATGTATTTTTTGTAGGATTTGCAACTAAATTAAGAATTCAACGGGAGAAACTTATGCAGGAATCTTTAAAAAATAAACTTAAACAGGAATCATCAATTCAAGGTATTAGGTGAATATTTACATTGCAGTATTATTAATATAATTTTTTATAGAATACTTAACATCTAAAGATGATAATATTGAATCGTTAGAAATCGAAGAATTGTCCTGTAGTCATTTATTTGAATCAAATACCATAGTGATTAAATCCGAAACACAAAATTATGAAAAGTTTGAAAACATGGATGTTATTGAACCTTATGTGCCTCCTAAGGAAAGCAATGATGTTAAGGGAATATTATTAGTTTTCCATGGTCATCCAGAAACTCCATATTATGCAGCAGCCAATAAAACTGGAATAACTTTATCTTTACCGGTTTACAGTTTGGACAGGTTAATTTATGAAGGACTTATAGAAAATTTTAATGACGCAACACATACGGTATTAGAAGAAATTAATAAGAATTTTAATGATGTTGCATCTGAAACCGACCTAACAGTACTTGAAGGAGAAGGTATTTGTCTATTTTTTTTCACTAACAGGGCAATTGTAAAATCATTGAGTAAAGAAGTCTTACTCAATGGTAAAATTTAAATTAATATGTTTTGCTAAAACTTTAATACTGAATATTTTTGACTATTTTAAATTTAATGTCTCCACTGGTGGTTAAAAATTCTAAATAACTTTCATGCTCAAGCATATTGAGTATGAGTACGACTGGCCCCATGGGCATAGTCTTAGAGTTATTTTTACCATCTTTCAGTTCGTATACATACCTATAGCCTGACCCAAAACTAAGTACAATCCCCCTCAACCAGGGATTTAGTAATACTCCCATTCAATTGGGCCTACCTTGCTTCTTGAGGAACTTCCTCTTCGTCTGCGTCCGTGTCTGCTGAAAATTACTGTACTGAAAATTTGGAAACTGCCATTTACAAATTGTTTGCTTCACTGTGCGAAACCATTTCTTCAGTCTAGAGGTCGAAAGCTATCGAAGATAGTTTTAAATATTTGTCATTGTCACACTTTTTAATCGTTTTTTATGTTTATTACCGAAGTAACATTTGTTTTTTTTAAGTCTATCTCGCAGAAGGCTGTCAAGTGGTACATTATATTTATGTTTATGTTAGGCAAAGATCAGAAAATGGTTTAGAGTGTTAAACTACTTACTACTTTCTCACGTCCTTTGGCTATGCTTGTCGAACTTGCTTTGCTGAATAAGCATGAGGTATTCTTTGGCTTATTAAAATCATTTTAATAAAATGTTGTTCACATCTTTTAATGTTTTATTTATTATTATATTTTTGTTGTTCCTACAGATTTTTCTACTTAAGAAGGTGTATCTACCCGAAGGCCTGATTGGCTTGGTGTATTTCTGAATTACAAGTTTTTAGTATTGCAAATGGCGTCTTGCAAATATTAAAAATTTTAAATTTAAAATACTTACTCCTTTTTCCCTTGTCAGATTCCCTCCACAATGATGGCTCCGACAGGTGGGGTGACACTATGCAATTTGCACTTTAATCCTGGTCAGTGAGGTGATGATGCACAATTGGATTCGCCTTATATGTATTCTGGATTTAAAAACCACTGCTTCTAGCCACTATTTAGCTACTATGTTTATATTTGTTTAGAATTTTGTTAGGTATTGACAGATTTTATATTATTCGTGAAAATAATGTACAGTAGCTTATTCCCACTATAACAATGTTTTGATTGAATAAATTATAAACACATGAATGAATTTGAAATTTACTATTAATTATTGATTAATTAATTAATCAATGCAATTTATCCAAATAGAATTTTTCCGTAAAATCAACGGAAAGACTTACCTACAACGATTTATATTCTTCTAAAATAAACTCACCGACTTTCTTTTGAACATTAATTTGGTAAAAATTAATTTTGGGTCAAGCAGGACTAGACTATTTTTGGAATAAAATTTAATCCGGGGAAACTGTAAAAAATAAGACTTTAAACAATACAAGGTTGGACTAATATTTTTATATTTAAAAACTCAATGTTTACGCTCTCATATCTTTTTAAATAATAAAGGTAGACTTGTTTAACAATTTTTTGGCATTTCTGGGATCTGTAGATCAAGGTGGTGCGCGACTTTAAAATTAAAAAATGTTTTTTTAGAGGAATATGATTGTTTGATGCAAAAAGTGGCTTTATTACTAACCGATAAAGAAAAGAAAAAAGTTGAAAAACCTAAGAAAACAAAAAAGAACAAAAAAGGCTCAAAGAAAGGCAAAGATAAAAAATCATCTAAAAGCAAATCCAAATCATCAAAGAGCAAATCTAAATCATCTAAAAGCAAATCTAAATCATCTAAATCCAAGTCTAGCAAGAAAAGCAAAAAAAGTAAGAAATCAGGTAAATCGTCCAGAGGCAGCAAAAAAGGAAAAAAGAAACCAAGCAAGAGTGCAAATACTTTAATTCAACTCGACGAAAATTTATTTTGTGAAATCCTAAAACATAAATTATTGCAGTTAAAAAATGGATTAATAATACAGAGCTTGGTCTCTGACTTTATGAAAAACAAATCCATAGCTTTGAGGTGTCTTCTTAAAGCAGCTGGAAATATGTCCTATATTCATTTTATTATATTTTCTTATACTTATACAGATTATGAGATTAACGAAGAAAAGAGATTACAGATCGAAGAAGAAAGGAAGTTAAGAGAGAAGGAAGAAAGATTAGATGTTCTTATTGATATGGATTCAGAAGAATATATTAATTTGCCACCAGAAGATTGGATATTATTAGATGAATATTTTGCTAAATTAAAAGCTGAAAGAGCAGAAAAAAAGAAAGCTAGGGCGTAATTATAAGTTAGTTTATCTTCTTGAATTGTTTTTATTAATAAATTTTAGACAAAGAAAAATTGACGCAGCAAAAGCAAAACTAGCCAAGGAAAAGGAAGTTAAAAATAAAAATAAAGTTAAGGACAAAGATAAATCCAAGGAAAGTAAAAAATCAAAAAAAAGCAATAAAGAAGATAAAAGTAAAAAGAGTAGTAAAGCAGATAAAAAATCAAAAAAGAGTAAAGGTAATTTGTTGGAGGTTGTAAATCAGGCAACAAGAAACTTTAAAAAGTGTTTTTATTCACACACAAATATTTCAATTACAAATTTTACATTTATTATCACCAAAACCTTCTTTTTTTTCTTCTTTTTGTTGCCAACTTTTTAAATTAAACTAAAAACCTAATTATACTAAACTAATTAATAGCCAATTTACTATTGTGTATAAGAAAAATTTGCTAAATTTGATTATTTGTAATAAAAATAAACTTCGTATGGACAAACATTCTTTGATTTAACAAACTGTAGTTAAAGCACCATTGGGCATATACAAGGATGCATTAAAAGTCCATAAATAAATGCAATATCAAATTGTTCGATTAGACTGTACCCCACATAAGCCAGATCTGAACCAAAGGGAATATTGAATTCATTATTCACGTTGTTAGGCATTAGTGATTGGCCGATTTTAATATTCACTGTGATTTGATCCAATCGGGTTTTAAATTCTTCTTCTTCTTTCAACTTAGGGCGGATTTATGGCTTAACCACCGCCCTTGTGGTCCTGGACAAAAGTCCTTATTAACCAGATACAAGTTTTAACGTCCAATGATTTCAGAAGAACCAAAAACCATTGGACAACGGTTGTCTAACAAACACGTGTACACAAATAGGTTATGTAACCTTAAAATTTATAATAGCTTTATATAGATTCCTCTATTCCTTTTAAAAAGGACAAAACGAGGAATATTATCTAGAACTGGAATCCGATTTTGTTCTCCCTGAGTCAAAGTCAACTATTTTCACACTTTTTCATGGAGCAATGCACGAGCGATGCGCTTCTCACCGAGGACAAAATCGAACTGGGGGTTTTAAATTGGGAGAATGGGGTTTTAAAGTGGGGTTAACCATTTGACAGATGTCAGATTTTATTTATTTATTTTTAAACATCACGTACTTATCTACTTAGAGTAGATAAAGTTAATTATTACACTCGAGATTATGCGTATTATTCACTCGGATGATTTGAGTCTCTCGTCTGGCAACTCGAGACGCAAACCTCATACATTTTTTACAGGTTTTTATAAAGTATCCACCTGCATTAAACCATTGACCCCCAGGAGATTTATCAAAACTTAAAAAAAATAACTTTTTATTATTTATTTTTTATGCAAAATTTCAACAAACCCTATTCAAATACTTAAACCACATTTTTTAGATTCTAAAAAAAGTAAAAAGAGTAAGAAGAGTAAAAAAAGTAAAAAGAGCAAAAAGAGCAAAAGTAGCAAAAAGAGTAAAAAGGGTAAAAGTAAATATTATACAAAATAAACCCCTTACGTTTTTTATATTTGTTTTAATTTTAGAAAAACTTTCTCCTGATCAACAGGAAGTAAAAAGCGTATTTGAAATATACGAAGCTCTTGCATTTGAAATGCTGCATACTTTAGAATACTGGGATAGGAAAAATGGCATATTAACCAAAGTAATCTTTATAAATCTTATATTTTATTTTATTATCTAATATTTCAGCCTTATACTGTTAAAAAAAAATCTAAAGGTAAAGATTCTGGGAAAAAATCAAAGAAAGGTTCAGTAACTGCTTCTACACCAGAAGTGGCTGATCCTGTGGACACTACAGATTTAGGCAGGAATAATACGATATACATACTAAATTAATTATTAAATATATTATGTTTTAGGTGTATTATGTTGGTATATTAATAAGGCCTTCAGTGGCATGGATGAAAACAGTGAAAACTTCAATTTCGCCGAAATTATTGCATCTTTATTAGGTGAATCACCTGAACTTAAAGATGCAGTAAAAGAGATAAAGTATGAAATTGAACAACCTTTGGAGGAAACTGAAACACTTTACAACGTTATTAAACCTGAAAAAATTACCCCTGTCCGATCTAAAGAGTTTTATATCTGTGATTATCATATACTTGATACTAGTTCTACAGTTTGTTTTTCAAGCATATCCATAAAAATCCATCCATAATCGTAAATGTTTTAGTCTTTAACGATTTCCGAACAAAGGGGATCCAAACGAAGTAGCAAATCTTCGTTAACTAGTAAAAAATCAAGCAAGAGAAAGAAATCAAGATCAAGTCAAAAATTATCACAGAGTAGTTCTGAATCAACAGTTCGATCGATGTTGGAAGATGGTAAGAGTTATGTAATAATAAATATTAAGGATATTCTAAACGTAATTAAGAATCGTTTTACTTTTAAAGTCGAAATAATAATAATAATAATTCAAATTTTCATAATAAAATACATGGTGGCAATTTTTGATTTATTTTTTTCAATAATTTCTTAGTAAAACGATATGAAAGCACATTATGGAATTGCTTTTTTGTGAGGCAATAAATTCACATTCATACATAGCTTTGATGTTGCTAGTAAAGAAAATCCGCACTTCTTTGAAGATATCATAACTTTTTAGGACATAAAGAATATTGATTAGTTTTTTCTTTTATGTCAATAACAATAGGAGGATTTGTATTTATATTTCAATATTTGTCAGATATATGACATCTGCATCTTGAAGTTTTACATCTTTTTGCACATAAGTACTAAAAATAGTTTGATTGAGTGCTATAAAAATAAATAATTTGGGTATGCTAGTGTATATATGGGGCTTTGCAAAAAATCGACAAAGCAAATTTGATGGTGTCAGCAACTTATTTCATATATTTTTTTTCTTATAGGCATTTGCGCTACGAGCGATGCTTTATATATTATTGTCTAATTTTATTATTGATTTAGCTAAGCTTTATTAAATAATTTACGTTTCTTTAGCTACAAAGGTACATAGAAACAATATTTTATAACAAACAATATTATGCTCACCAAATGATTAATGATAAAAAAATACATCCATCGATCATTTCGGTGAAATGGAAACATATTTATAGGTTAAATAATTGATATTTATTAATGTTAACATTCAAAATTTGTATTAAGATATATTTTAATACTTTTATCCATGAAATATCTCTTGAGTCATGTATTATTGAAAGAAATACGAAAATATCATAAACTGATCGAACTTTTATTTAGTTACGACCATATCGCTTAGTACATATTATTTTAATTTAATAAGCCGTAAGTACCTACATTTACTATATTTTGGGCTATAAAATGTAGATACGACCTTTGGCTTTAGCACAGAAGTATAGTATACATAATATAATCAAATATTTGTTCAAAAATATTTCAGAAAAACTAACAACAAAAATATTGCTTGAACCAGGCGATATGTTTAGCTATAAAGTTCAATTTAGACCAATAGAAGAAAATGAATTTGTATATAAATTCGACATACGTGCCACTGGCTGCGAGTTTCCAACATACTTAACCTGCACAGGCAATTGTTCTGGTCCATTGGTTAATTTGGATTTAAAGAATATTTTTAAAAATTATATGGGGAACACTGATAATTTGGTTTATAACGAGGAAGATAATACCTTTGATTTTGGGCATACCATACAACGTGACATAAAAAAATCGTAACAAATGTGTTTTTATAATAATTTTATTTTTTAAATGTCTTTTTTAGTATGGAAATATTCCTAAACTTTGATAATGATTGCCCAAAGGATGTAAACCTAACCTTTCATTTCGATAAAAGGGAGATTTTTTCTTGTGAACCTAGAGTACCTTTGGAAGCAGCAGGTGCCAAAGTTATTCCGATAAAAGCCAACCAAAGCAAACCCGGAAACTTCACCGATAAACTTTACATTGGAGTTGAAAATGATCCAGCCATAACCAGTGTAACGCTAAGAAACCATATAATTAAATTTAATTTTGAAGTATCACCTTCTGAAATTTATTTTGAGTATGTTAACATTGGATTTCCTGTCGAAGAATATATAACACTAAGTAATAAAACCAAAATGAATATGACTTGGAGGATTGTAAATCCCTATATACTCCAAGAATTTTTTGAGTTGGGTTTTGATTCTGGTGAAATACGTAGAGAGCATAAGACCAAAATACCTATCAGATACAATCCAAAAAAAATTGAAGTTATTAATAAAATTATTGTAAATATAGAGGTAAACTAATATAAAATTAAAATACAAATATAATATTATCCTTTTTATAGATTTCTGATTGTATTAATTTCTATAGCGAGCCATTGCTAATATCCTCAGTTATAGTAAGTGCTAAATCCACAGAAGTTATTGTTGATTGCGATACCGTAATTAATATGGGTGAGGTAAAAGGTCAAACAGAAAGTTCATTTAAAATTAAATTTGTAAATAAAGGAAGCATACCCTCTAAAGTATAGTAAGTTTACTGATTAAATTAAATCAATTATAACAGGGGTTCCCAAACTTATTCAGTTTACAACTTTGATTTATTTTATCGACGCCCCAGACAATTGTATTCAACAAAAAAGATCGATAATTAAAAATAAAAATAAAAAACGCTCAATATAATAGTTTTATGCCCCTGGTCTCCCTTCACGGCGCTCCAGACTTTGGGAACTTCTGTTCTCCCTTGGATATTTTGTAGCCTATAGGTAACAACATTCAAGAGTTGGGTTTGTCTTTACTTTAACTCCCCAAACTGCCTTGTTCTTGTCTATCTCTATTTCGGACATAGACGTTTTTTTTTTGGACTTTCATATGTTGGTGATTATTAAATCAATTTGCATATAAGTGATATTATTTCAACCATTCCCCTTTAATTTACAAAGAATAAAACCCCTTAAAAAATCTGAAAATAGCCCGATGCAAAGACCTGGGGAGTTTGAGGAATGGTATGTCAAAAACTCTACCTATATGAGATTAAAGAATGGATTTGGACTGGCTCAAATAAATTATTTATTTCGATATCTACAAGAAGATATTTATTTAGTGGAAAATTTGGGTTTACTTGACTTTTTAAACTGATATTTGGTTAATGCAAGTAAATATCTAGTTGACTTTTTATCTCAGGTTTAGAAGAAGCTTACTTAAAGAAACAAAACCTACATCCAAACAATTTAATTAATTGCTCTAAATAAATATTTCTTTACAATAATTTTCTTATTCTTAGTAACTTGTTGTTTACAATAAGAAAATACTAGTATTTGGTTGTAAATCATAAGTTTAATTAATTAATTAATTAATTATTAATTACAACACTAAGTTTTTTTCAAGAAACTTATGATTTACAACCAAATACTAGTATTTTCTTATTGTAAACAACAAGTTACTAAGAATAAGAAAATTTTACTTCATACAAGAAAACCTGTTTCAAGTAAATTTTCTCCATGTACCATATGAGTATTAAAAAATACAAACTTACTTTTTTTGTTGACGTATTTTTTTGTTATTAAAACAATATCCAAAGGCAAATAGAGTTTTGAAAAAAGTTTAAAATATTAATTTCTAAATTACTAATTTCTATAAAGTTTTGAGCGTTTAGAAGGTTCTACAGATGAAGAACGTAAAATTATAAGCTACTTTGAAATTAAACCCATGCATGGGACTATACTGCCAACGAAACCGTTTGTTGTCACTGTTAAATTCCTTCCTGATACTGAACTACAGTTAAAAGAGTTCCCGGTTTATAAATGCTGCATATGTGATCCCAACAGAGATAAATACGTTTATCAAGATTGTTATGTAATTGTTAATGGAAAAGTTAGTTTATCCAAGTAATATTTATTTATAAATGTAATGAATAAATTATTAATGATTTTCTTTAGATATGAAATAAATCCGTTACACGAAATAAATTTTGGATACATGCAGGTAGGGTCGAAAAAAACCAACACTATCCAACTAAAGAATACTGGAAAATTTGATTTTAATTACACAGTTGTGACTTTGGCGAAGTTTAAGGCTCCCAAACCAGATCGTAAAGGTATAAACAAAATGGTATTTTATTCTTTACAGAAACCGACAAAATTTAACAATATTCTAAACCAGAAACCAGACTATACAGACGCGCTGAATCTGAATCGCGTCTTAAAATTGATCCATTACCCCTAGCTTTTAGAATACCTAGACTTCATATTTAAAGTAATGAGGAACTGGCGGTGTCAATTGAATTGAAGAAATGAATCAAATGGCTTATTGATGCTCACTGTTTAAATACCTACTAATATGCCAAACTCATAAATATTAACCAACATTTTTTTAAGAGTATGCAGTAGCGAGTTTTGAAGAAAGTCACCTTTCGATGTAACCTCAAACAAAGTTTTTTTCGCATTCATTGTAAAAATCTGATGGAGCGATTCTGAAAGGGATTCAGATTCAAAAGGTTAAAAAAGCTCACCCTGTGTTATATTTGTTATATTTAGGTAAAAAGAAAAAAGGATCCAAATCCTCAAAATCATCAAAAAGTTCAAAGAAAAGTAAAAAAAGTAAAAGTAAAAAATCTGACAAAAAGTCTAAAAAATCTAAAAAGTCGAAGAAATCTAAAAAGTCGAAACGTTCCAAAAGTGGAAAGTAAGTGTACTGGATTTTTTTAAATATTTAAAAACGCTTTTATACAAATTTTAGAAAATCCAAAAAATCCAGTAAAAAAACAAAAAGCTCCAAAGGCAGTAAAACGTAAGCATCATTATTATATTTATAATATGTTTTTACAACTGGTCTGCAAAAACTTTTCCTTCCTCTTATCATATAATCGGTTCTTTAGGTTTATTTACCTACATTAATAAAAAATGTGTGTATGATAGATTTAAATTTAGTAAAATATTCATTTTAACTATGGAATATTTAAATTAGTAGGTAGGCTTTGCTTCTTAAGGCAGACTTCCAGATAGAGATTTAACAACCGACCGACCGACTGATTGAAATAAGACGGTACTGACGTAATTCCAGCGATCTTCAATGGGGCAATCGGGGCCGTGCCCCAGGGCCCCCAACTCGGAGGGGCCCCCGAGCAGGGGATGAGAAGGAAAAATTATTTAGCCTTATACAACATGTTGCAAAAAAAAATTTCGTCAATACCCAAACAAACAATTTGAAAAACATGATCAAAAACATATTAGTTGAGCTAAGGTGATAAAAAAAAACTCATCTAAATTTTGCTAGTCCGACCTAATGTTAACAAGAGATTCCAATTTTTCGGCGCCAGTGGTACCCATATAAAGTGCGTTCGAAATGGGAGTGACTTTACATTATACCTGACTTTCTTTTTATTTTCGAACGCCGCGGAGCATATACCTATAAACTTTATGTTGTAGTGTTCTAAAACCAACTTTTGCGAATGATGTGTCACCTTCCTTTTTCCCTCAGTTGCTTTCTGTAAGGTTGACATTTTCGAAAGAGTTCAATGAAAGATGTCAAAGATTTAGCCCGTTTCTTGATCATTCAGAATGCGTCATTGTCGTCCAGTTATCTGGATGTGTGCACTGCACTTCTGATGTTTCTAACTGCCCCTGTCACTACTGCGAAAGCTGAACGGACTTTCTCTCAATTGAAGTTGATTGAAAACTACTTGCGTACCTCAATGGGACAAAATGGACTTAGTAATTTAGCGCTACTGTCTATTGAAAATCAATCAGTAAAGAAAATTTAAGATTTCCTGAAAAATATAAATAAAAAAGTATACGTGATAGGCAAAACAGGACTGCATATTTATAACGTTAACATTTAAAGGGACATTCCTTTGCAGACCAGTGCTATAAACTATTTCTTTTAGTAAAAAGAAAAAAAGGAAAATTACCAAGCTTCAATTGGATGGCTTTTTATTGGCCTCGTCAACTGGTAATTTGGATCCAGACGAAACCTGGACAATCAATGTGGAAGCAAATCCAACTCAGTTTCGGTCTTATGAAGAAACCATAGTTATTTTAATATCTGAAAGTAACCAACATAAAAGCACTCAAATTAAACTTACAGCAATTGGCTGTGAGCCGTTTATTGAATGTGACCCTCACATTATATTTAGAGAGGCTTATATAACCGAAAAAGTGACTGATTTTGTCGTTCCAAATAAGGTGGGAATAAATATTAAATATTCGATTTTAAATGAGAAAATCTTCCTAACACCTCTAAAATTATTTTTATAGATTTTGATAAAAGAATAGATTAAAACATTATAATTTAAAAAAATATAAGGCTTTGTTTCGATGTTAACATAATTTGAAAGTAACAGGTTTTTTTCTTACTGCTTTTGAACCCTTTTACTTTAAAGTTGATTCGATTACCTTATTTTTCTCATTTCTCATGTATTGTTATAATAACTTTTATTTTACGATCATATAAACTAAAAGTTAATTAAAACGGCGATATAAGTAATATTTCTTCATAATGTTGATATTTTTAGATTGGAAGCTATTGTCTTTATGCTTCTGCAGACAATATTCTGTACTTTAAAACAATTTGTTTGTATACCAAAAAGGAAATTAAACTGTATTTATATAATGCTGGAAATGTTATTGCAAATGTGGAAAATAATGTCAATAATAAGCATTTTGAAGTCCAGGCTCCTAAATTGGATATTAAACCTTTTGAAACTAGGTCATTTATATTGTCCTTTACACCAGATTCCGTCGGAGTAAGTTTTCTTTAATCTTATTCTAAACTACTAAAGTATCTATATTTTAAAGGAAGTTATATCAAAACTTGATGTTACATTCAATTCTAAATCAAGCCCCATATCTATTCAATTGGTTGGAGAAGGATATTTACCAGAACTAAAGATGATAGAACCCAACGCAGATTTAAACAATAAATGCACAATTGAATTTAGCCCAATCTTAATGGGAACTAAGCACTCTAAGTTTTTTATTTTTAAAAATGTTGGCAAAATTTCTTGCAGGGCAATTGTTGAAGTCGTATATGATGATAAACGTGTATTTCTTATTAAAAGAAGAAGTAACACAAAGGATTACCGTAAGAAATTTTTATTTTTGTTTTTAGGGACATGGTACGAAACACTTAAAGCCGAGGGGTAAACCACTGATTTTTTTAAATTAAGGAAATAAGAAAATCAATCACAAGGGTAGTCATACGAAACGCGTCGCTAAGACAAATTTCTTATTGATAAGGATTTTTTCTTATTGATGACGACTGACAAGGAAAAATCAAAACACAACGTCCATGTAACGTTGAACGTTGGTCTCTCTGATTTTAAAGTGGTTTACCCCTCGCTTACCGCGCCTTGGCTTGCTTAAATAATAAAAAGAGTATAAAACCTTAAACTATATTTTTTTTAAATAATGGCTACTTGCACCGTTTTCTCTAACTGATCAGTTAAATAAACTGCCAAGTTAAAAGGTAACAGGGGATTAGTGTCCAAAATCTTGCACCGTGATTTTTTCACTATGGTTTACAATTTAACTAGTGATCTGGGGAATTTGATCAAAAAATGGAAAATATTGGTGGTAATAACTAACTAACGCAAATATATTTTGACGTTAAGAGTTCGATTCTTTATAATCTGTGGATGGATTCTATTTCATGTACGACAGATTCAGTTGATGGTAAGAGAGAATAATATGGATGCAGAACCTGAAAAAAAGAGGGCTCGCTCCTCAAATTTTTCAGAAAATGACAAAATCATTTAATTAATCTTGTGGATACTAGGGTATCATTGAAAACAAAGAGCAGGAAATTAACAATAAAAAGGATGAAATAGTATATTAAAGTACAAGTTGCAGAAGGCCACATATTCATTCGTTCGTCCACTCGCTCCTTCGTCGCTCGAGGCCAAATTTCGAATTCGTGCGAGAATAGCCTTCTGCAACGTGTGATTTATACTATTTTCTCGATTTTAACTTTTATTTAGGTTTTTTTAATTGTTTTGTGGTCGTTGTTAGTTAGGGGATTTTTCTCGCAAAATGTCAGTTGGCAACACAAAATGACAATATTTGTTATCCTGCACAAGTACAACCTGAACTGCACTTTTACACATTAAACTTAAAAATTTTGCATTAAAATGCATTGTTGGAGCAAACTTTATATTACAAAACAATAATAAAGGCTTCATTTTCAATAAAAGTAATGAATTTGAGATTATTAATCAGTTTGACATTTTGGGGGTACCAATACTTAAAAACTAAATGTTACCAAAAATCGTTTAAGAATGAGCTTCATTCTTCAACGATTTTGCGTGCGAGAATATGACATTCTTACATAAAAATCGAGAATAGTATATTAAAGTACAAGTTGCAGAAGGCCACATATTCTCGCACGAATTCGAAATTTGGCCTCGAGCGACGAAGGAGCGAGTGGACGAACGAATGAGTGCGAGAATAGCCTTCTGCAACGTGTGATTTATACTATTTTCTCGATTTTAACTTTTATTTAGGTTTTTTTAATTGTTTTGTGGTCGTTGTTAGTTAGGGGATTTTTCTCGCAAAATGTCAGTTGGCAACACAAAATGACAATATTTGTTATCCTGCACAAGTACAACCTGAACTGCACTTTTACACATTAAACTTAAAATTTTGCATTAAAATGCATTGTTGGAGCAAACTTTATATTACAAAACAATAATAAAGGCTTCATTTTCAATAAAAGTAATGAATTTGAGGTTATTAATCAGTTTGACATTTTGGGGGTACCAATACTTAAAAACTAAATTTTACCAAAAATCGTTTAAGAATGAGCTTCATTCTTCAACGATTTTGCGTGCTAGAATATGACATTCTTACATAAAAATCGAGAAAAGAGATTACTCGTATAAATTAAATAAAACATCAAAAATATTATTCACATTAAATTTTATAAATTCGCAAAATAATCTTGTATTAATTGATTTTGAAACATAATGCGATCTCGTGGATGAGTAACAACAGGGTACTCCAGTTCATGGCATTAATATCAGAAGCAAAGGCGGCTCTGGTTTATTCATCTCTAGCAATATTATGTAGTACAGCCGCAGCTGAAATAATGGATAAAACTGTATCTAGTTTTTATCTTAAGCCATATGCCAACACTGGAAACCCTCTTTTCCAAATTCCAAATACTCTTTCTATTATATTTCTGGTTCTTAGTAGTGAATCATTATAGAGTTGCTATACCTATAACTATAGTTATTGGATTTGCTAAAGATGTCAATAAATAATATCTTTGGTAAAAAGATCTTGAATACCGATGACTAGTACTTTTGAGGTTATAAATCATTAACGGTGGATTAAACCCCCGAAATTGGGGGTTTATTTTAACAGTAGTTTAGAGGTATTTAAACAAGGATTAATTTACGGTGCAAGCCAGTTATGAAAAATAAACCTGTGTTAAAAATTAAACCACTGTTAAACTTAAGGTGCAAGTGGCCATAAGTAAGTAGAGGTCGTTACAATTAATGTATTAATGTATAATAAAGTATTTTTAAGTAAAAATTTAACAAGTTTGTTACCAAGGTTCTGCGGTTTAACATACCTAAAGTTTTTGTATGAGTTCATTTGGAAGCCAGGATCCATGTCAATAAACCATGAACTGAACAACAACCTAAAATATACTATGAGGCTTTCGTTTTTAGCTGTAAAAGGAACTGAAAGGGTTAAGTCATTAAAATTTAATATAAAAATGATCAAAAACCCCCAAATAAAATTTGTAAATTTATTATTTTTAGAGCTTTTAATTTTACTACTGAACAAGCAATTTAAAATTTAGGCATTTATATACTGGATCAGTTAAGGACAAACTACGCTCAAAAAGATCAGAAATTGCACGTTATAATAAAAGTATTGTTAATGTGTGGGAAAAGAATGCAAATTATTCATTAACCATGGTTATATGCATTATATTATTATTATTTGCTTATTTTTTTGCTTACATTTATATAACAAACTTTTATTTTAGTCGATGATCTGGAAAAACATGCCATATTTATTAACTTGGATCTAAATGAAACGTCCGAAATAGAAATAATGTTTAAACCTACATTGGAAGAAGTTTATCAGGCTAAAATTAAAGTTCATATTATGAACAACGCTTTTGAAATGATAGAAGTATTTACCATTAAATATTAATATAAAACACATACAATTTTGATTTGTAGATACTTTTAAAAGGGCAAGCATTTTATTATGATGTAACCCTGGGGTTGAAAGCCATTAAAACTGGAAGCAGTAATCCAATGACTTTAAGTGATTCAACTACTTCTCTACAGCAACCTGAATTACTTCCTATAGGGTACATTTTGAATTTCGGGTTTTCACCTTTATTTTCTCTACAGAAAAAATGTACACGTATACAAAATAACTCAGATACTTATACGTATAAATTTACATTTACCAATGATAATTGTGTGGAATTTAGACCAAAAATTGGGCACATTAGACCAAAGGAACATAAAGATGTAGTTGTTACATTTTTTTCTTCTCAAGTGGATTTTTTTGAAAAGGTAAAAATAGTCGTGATTTAAATTATGTTTAAATATGTTGAATTTAAGGTTCTTTTAAATTTATTAATATTTAAAATTGAATACGTAAAGGCTCAGTTAGAGCCCCTATCTTGGGATGAAAGGCAAACTTTTATAAGCTGGGACCCTGAAGGTTATGTACCAAGAACGGAAGATATTACACCCCCAAATACTGAATTTGATGAGAACGATGAGTAAATATAATCATTTAGTATTTTTAATTTAAATGCTGTTTTCAAATTAGAGCAAGATTTATTTTTAAAACAAAACAGCTTTGACTAAAAAATATTTTTATTTTAATTTTGGGTCTCAAATTATAAATAAAAACTAAAATCATTGAATTTTAAAAAAAATAGATATTAAGGCTTTCATTTAAGACAAAGTAAAAATTTGTGAAAAAAGTTTAAAATTGGTTCAAATGATTAAACTTTAGAAGGTATGCGCCATAAGTAAATATTGTGCAAAATTATTATTTTTTTCTGTTTTGATTGTCTTGACGAAATGCAACTTTTCTGCACTATTACGTTTCGGCTGTGAAAAAATTTTGTTCGACCCACCCTAATATGCATATTTAATTTAAAGTAAAAATATATGCAATTTTACTTACTGTGTTTTATAAAAAAATTTATAACCAAATTTTAGAAATTATGAAAATGATGAGCCGATTGCTCCGAATGAAGAAGATGGCGAGTGCAAGTACAAAAAAGTTGCCACTAGAATGGAACCAGAAATAATAATTTTGGAAGACACTAACGAATTCATACCCATTTATCTTTCAGCAATTGTGGATTACTCTTACTATAAATGTGATGTTAATGAAATATTAATGCCAGATACCTATATAATGAAAGTAAATATTTTTTATATTTATTATTTTTGCATAACTTTTTTGAGTTTTAGACTGAAAAATATACATTCGATGTGACAAATATAGGACAAGTGCCTTTAGAGTTATCTTGGAGAATAACATTAAATAATTTATTACCAAAATCGACTGTATCTTGTATAGCTAATGAAGAGAACCTATTGTCCAATGGTAATTTTTGACTAAAAATTATTAAAACTAAAAAATATTGCAAAAAAAAATGGTAACCGAGATTAGAAATTTTTAATGCTTTTATTCAATTTTCAATTTTTTTATTTATAATAAATTATTTGTACGTAGCTAAATATCACCCAAAAATTGTATCATTTTGAAATTGGCCATATAAATTTTAATTCTTAATAAATCTTAATAAATTTTATCTTCAATCAAAAACCTCCTAGGCTGTAAAAAACGTTTGGACCAATTAAAAAATTTGACTACTTTCAGATTTAATCTAACCTCACTTTCTAGTTGTGCCAAATAAAATGCAAAAGCAGTTTGGTTAGGTTAGGTAAGTTACCGTTGCAACGCGTTGGTATAATTTTGGAAATGGTTAGGCATGAAAAAAGTATTTATAAATAATAATTTTACATGGTGTCTTAGTTTTTAATCGAAATCAGTCGATATAACCCGCATTTCCATTCAGTTTTCAATATTTTAGAATGTTTTGAAAATAAATTCCATAAAATAGGTCACTTTTTGGGCCAAATAAACGCCAATAAATATAAAATATCGTACATCAAACTTAGTTGCTGATAATTTTTTATAATTTATTAAAGACAAATACTAAAAATCTAACAATTGCCATGTGTCTAATATACATTTTTACAAAACAAAATTAAAAGTAAGAACTTAAGCATAATTATAATTAAAAAACTATACAGGGGCTAGTAATAAAATCTTATAGATATTTTTTAGGGTGTATACATAGCTTAAACAAAAAATAATTTATATTTATCCCTTGTTGGATCGACGAAATTGCCAGTGGATTCTGTTTTGCCAATAAACATGCCATTAAAAACTTCATTTTATTTCAGGATCCCTTAGTTCAACATTATTTAGTTCCGATGACACAACTAGTAACACATGGAGCGACCACAATCAACTACCAATTACTATAAATCCAGATAAAATTGAAATAAAACCACAAGAAACAACGCAGTTTCTTGTCAAATTTAGTCCAATAGATTCCTTTGAATACCAAATTCATTTGCAATCCAGCATACGTAATTTAAAACCTGGCACAGAAAATATAGATATTAGAATATTCGGTAGAGGTGTCTTACCATTGTATTACTTTGAATTGGGTCCCAGTAATTATTTCTTTGCTGGTGCACAAAATTGCGTGGACTTTGATGTGGATAACGCTCAGATAGTTGAATTTGAGTCCATTGGTTTGGGTGTTACTTCAGAAAGGTAATGTTTCTGAACTTTTTAAGTGACCTAGTGCCGGTTGTAGGTCTGGTACTACCTGGGTTAATTATATAAATTGTTTCTGTCCCCGAGAAAATAGCTTAAATAAATTAACTAATTTAAATGCGCTGCAACGCGCGCGCCCTGTGTAACTGAAATAATCCTATGGGATAGTGGTAATTTGAATTAATATTTTAAAATGTTCAAATCTAATTAATTGTTGCGATAACAAAACGAGATAAATACTGACGACCTCTAATCTTTATTTCAAAATTTTGCACACCGTTTGTTTTGAATGGGAACAAGAAAAATGTGTTTTTGTCGGTCAGGAGTGAGTGTATTTGGTTTGACTTTGTTTATTCCCATTTTTAACGTGTTAGTTACCAATTAAAAGTTGATTAATCCCAATATGAAATTGTTACATTCCAAATTGAAATTGATTAGTTCCAATTTGAAGTTGAAAATATGCTCATATCTTGATGAAATTTTGAGAAGATATTTAATAAAAAAACGATTTTTTGACTGCACAAACTTATATAAACCCTTAATGAGAGTAGCAACCAAATTGTAAGAACTGGGCTTTTACCTTGTCACCAGGCTTTTTTCAAGTGTGTCTTCACGAACAGGCACCGATAGAGAGCCTGATTCAGTCTTATTAGAACTCATCAGTGCTGAAACTCGAAACAAACCGCTTCTACCGTTTATAAAGCATCGAGAATCAGTGGCAGTGGTGAACAAAGGTAATCAGTTCCATTTACCGTTCAAAGGATGTGACTTATCTATGCGTTTAGCAAAATTCTGCACCATGACACGTAAAGGGAATTGCTTCATAAACAGCATAAATATACATCCTGGAGAAAATCCCTATATGTGTTATGGTGCAGAATTCTTGTTCACCGCTGCCGCTGAATCTATATAAGCAGTATCTTTGGATACGCTGTCCGACACTGATGAGGTCTGATGAGACCGAAACAGGATGTCTGTCGGTTCCTGGTAGTGAAGGCACACTTGAAAATAAAAGCGCAGTGACAAGTTCTTATTTGGTTTCACTTATGACAAGATTACCGGAATATTTACTGTGGGACATGTTGTGTTTGAATACATTGCTGTATTATAATTATGTGGCCTAATTATCGTATCCTTGCCAAAGACCTTTTCTCTGCAAGTCAAGGATTGTGTTACTAACACAGTGTTAGGAAGATTATTGAGGAGTAGTAGGGGTGGATGCTTAAAAAACCTCAATGTGATTAAATGGCGTTGGCTAAAAAATTTTTTATTTAAGTCTTTCGAATTGGCCTTACTCAACCAGACCCACTAACTAGGTCACTAAAAAGTTCATTGATTGATTTTAATTTTATAAAGCACTATGTAATCAAAACTATAATTTTTGTTTCTAGGAATTTTAATCTTGTAAATCCAACAAACCAAAGATTTAATTTTACTTTTAAAAGAGCCGATATTAAAGACCCATTTACTTGCTTCGATTGCGTAGAAAATTTTGGTAGCGTATCGGGTGGTAAAAAGTACGAAATATTATTTACATTTTTATCAAGAGAACAAGGAACATTTGAAGATTACTACATTTTTTCCATCAAGGATCTGAATATAACTGTCCCCTTTCTTTTGGTTGGCACCTGTAGAGATCCAAAAGTGTACTTTTTTCCTTCATTTGTCAATATGAAACCCACATTAAAAAATGTGGAAGTAATAGATACGGTGGTTATTAAAAATGAAGAAGATATGGATTTACGTTATTATTTCTGTAAAGATAATTTAATATCGGAAGATTTACACGAGCAACTTTATATACAACCTATGCGTGGCGATATATTGGCCAAGTCTGATTTAAAAATAACGTAATTTAATGTCCAGCTAGCTAAGCTATAAAATATTTATTAATTATTTTTTTAATTTAGATTAAAAACAAAAGCAAGTAAAATTGGAAATTTTTCCTTTAATATATTGTGCACAGTTGAAAGATCATCAAAACCAATTAATTTATACGTCTCAACTAGCTGTGTGAAAATACAACCAAATGTATATTTTACCAGTAAAGACAACATGAAAATAATGTTGCGATCAAAGGAACCAAACACTATAGATTTTGGAGGGGTATTAATTTAATGTACCCATTATAATGCCTTCTCAATAACTATTATTTTTTTGTAGATGACTGTCAATAAAGAAATCAAAATAGTCCTTACAATATTGAATGAGGGGGAGGCAGGTTTCTTTTACAAATTTCATTTGAACAATGATGAAATAAGTTATATGTATGATTTACAAGCTAACAAGTTGACTGACTTTTTACCTAGTAAATCGGGAGATGACATAACACTCAGTCTAAAAGCAATTAGAAAAAGTAAACTTGAAGATCATGAAATAAAATTAGAGGTGGGATTAGGTTTTCGAAAAAGTTCTCGCCGATTTTGTCAATAGATAACAGAATTTGGGTACTTATGGTCATTTTCAAGGGCAATTAAAAGTATTTTCAAAATGTTCTTAGCCGCCTGCGTTGCGTCTTATTAAATTATTAAATTTCTTATCGCTACAATATAAAAGGAAGACGCACTGCAGGCTGAGAACATTTTTTGGGTTTGTGGTAATAGCGCTGCAGTACTAGAAGCTACTAAATAAGACTTCATTTATATATCTTTTCTTACTTCTTACTGAAATTACATACTGGATCGTTGCTGGTTTTGACATGTCAAGTTTAATTACCATAGAATAAACAAATTGATTTTATTAAAATCATTTTAATAATTTGCTCGTATTTGCTTGTTTTTTGGAATTACGATTACTTCGTCTTACTTTTGTTTAAATTCAAGCGTGCTCTTCACCGTCACCGATAGACGGCCTGTTTGGAGCTCGTCAGTATCGGGTAGCCGTTTACCTAGGTCTAAGACCGTTTGGTATGGAGCACGCTCTAAATTCTACTTCGCAGCTTCTTATATCAAACACAAGCAGTTACAGCGGTGAGAAGAAAGTAATCGCATTAAAATGTCATAAATGTGACGTCTCCATGTTGACGTCTTAAAGAGTTAATAATACGATTTCAGTAAGAAGTAAGAAAATAAAATACTGTAAGATATCATATAACTGAAGTCTTATTTATGATAGCCTTAGTAGCTTCTAATTTTGATTCCAATAAGAGGTCAGAAAAAAAGATACTTTAAGATGTTGAAAAATTAACTTCTCATTTATGAATTCATCAAGAACTCTTAATCTTGAGCTCCTGATTTCTATAAGATGTCATATTGTGACCTCGGTAAGATGTTTTTCAACAGACCGTACATAAATCTTTCTGAATTGGATGCTGTCTGGGTAGAGCTTATGAAGACTAAATTAAGACGTCATAATGCTGTCTAGGTACCTACAGGATTTTTTCTGGGTCTAGGCTACACTGAAAGAAATATATACTAAAGTTAAATAAAAAAATAATTAGGGCAAATATATTTTATGTTTCATATATAGACTACCACATACATTGCTAAAACAAATATATTCGTTTGGTTAGCAGCCTATTGCTGCCCTAGCAATATAAATGGTGTTTCTAGCAATATTTTTTTGCTGTAATTCACTTATAGTTTACATTTTATAGTAAGGGTAAGTTTATTTTTATTTAGATCTAACATATCTTCTTTACAATAAATGTATTACAAAATTTACCATACATTCATAATAAACAGTAGTATAAATGTGTAAAGCACTAGTATAAAATTTTTAGTATAAATTTGTATTTACTTTTAGCAACAAATTTCTTTCAGTGTAGAAATGCTGCTTGCTCTATAAATTATTATTTGATGTCTATAGTCTATATTATAATATGCTTTGGTCGATAATTTGCCAAATATTATGAAAAAGATCCGCAAGACCGGTAGGTATAATCAGCGTACCTAATTAGTAATTTTAATAATAATCACCTAATAGTTGTGAATCATTTGCAGAAGGCTATCCAAGAAGTATGGCACGCCGTTTTAAAATTGATTATTTCCCTCAATATAATATGAACCAATCAAAAGCCTTGAACATAGAGAAACCACCAGAGAGCTAAGTGCCTTGTTATAAGTAATCCACTAAACTACCAATTCCCGCTTTCCAGATGGCGTAGCTGTAGCTTTTGCGCGCCAAATTTGAATCCTGTTTAATGGCGGGAATTTTAAATGTATTGAAGGATTTAATTAATAAAATTGATATTTTCGTCAAAATTACAGAAAATTAAGTTTTTACAAGTGTTAAAAGTAAAGTTAAGTTTACTTTTACATTATAAAAACATAATTTACCATATTTTGAACCATTTAAGTATGATTTTAAATGAAAAAAAATAAGTTTTTCGTTTAAAAATATTATTAAATAAAATATCCTTAAAATATTCAGTAAATACAATAAAAAAATACCAAAATAAATCCATGTACACTTGAGTGGATAATAATAATATTTTTATTTAACCACATTACATAAGAAACATTTATGGCAAATCAAGGTACAAAAGTTATACAAATACAATATAAAAAATACAATAATACAACAGAATATAATATTTACATAATGTTAAAATTAAGATCTGGAGTCTCCACTACTCTTTATTGAAAAGAAAGTCCTGTTTATTAAATACATGTTTATCTGGTTCCTAAAACGTTTAAAAATATTATTAAATAAAATATCCTTAAAATATTCAGTAAATACAATAAAAAAATACCAAAATAAATCCATGTACACTTGAGTGGATAATAATAATATCTTTATTTAACCACATTACATAAGAAACATTTATGGCAAATCAAGGTACAAAAGTTATACAAATACAATATAAAAAATACAATAATACAACAGAATATAATATTTACATAATGTTAAAATTAAGATCTGGAGTCTCCACTACTCTTTATTGAAAAGAAAGTCCTGTTTATTAAATACATGTTTATCTGGTTCCTAAAACGTTTAAAAATATTATTAAATAAAATATCCTTAAAATATTCAGTAAATACAATAAAAAAATACCAAAATAAATCCATGTACACTTGAGTGGATAATAATAATATCTTTATTTAACCACATTACATAAGAAACATTTATGGCAAATCAAGGTACAAAAGTTATACAAATACAATATAAAAAATACAATATTACAACAGAATATAATATTTACATAATGTTAAATCTGGAGTCTCCACTACTCTTTATTGAGTAGAAAGTCCTGTTTATTAAATACATGTTTATCTGGTTCCTAAAACTTTTTATTTTTTTTATTGATAGTGGTAGCTTATTATACAGGTTAATATCCAAACCATTTAATTTGCTTTTCTCGAGTCGTAGAAAGGGGCCTGATTAGGTTTGCACTTCTGGTATTGTGATAATGGATATTAGATTGGGTTAAAAATTTATGTCTTTTTGTGTGGGTCTCAACCAAACTATGGTAAATATAAAGAGAAGGTAGAGTCATAATATGGAGCTCCTAGCAAAAATATTAATCTTCAAGGTGAAAAAAAAACTGTGTGAAGGAAAAAAATTGACTCGCAATTTTCTAAATTATCTCTAAAACCACAATATTTAAGAGATAATTAAATATAATATAATTTATTTATACATGTTTAATTGAAAACAAGGACATCTAAAATTATGCGCAATTTTCTTAAAAATTATTTAATAATCAAATTATAAGAACTTACCTGTTAAGATTTTTTGGAAAACAAAACAAGGCTTCAACTTCGTTTTCGGATGGACCACAAATAAAGCAAAGCTTCATTTTAAAGTTTTTTAAGAGTTTAAACAATTAATACTATAAATATCAACAACCAACGCACAGAAAAACATAAAAACGCACTTTTTAAACATATCTGACATCTAGAAATTTTAAGTCGAAACTGTCATACACCTACCAACGCACAGAAAAACATAAAAACGCAAGTCGAAACTATTTTACAAATTAGACGGAAACTGTAATTATTCTACAGTGGCGACATCTGTAAAACGGGAACAATTAGCCGGACTAAATTTTATATCGAGCTGGCATTCTGGTGGTTTTTCTATAAATTTCGTTTAAATAAGCGATTAAATCACTAGAACTTTTTAACAGCGATTAAATTTTAGCCTCCATATTGGATTTTTGTTTACGATTTTATGGTGTTATTTACAAGTTTTAACAAACATTTTTTAAAAAACAATAAAAAATAAGTTATCTAGTTTACGAAATATCAATTATTACTTATTACATACCTTAAATTAATGGAATTTTCTTTAAAAAAATATTTATAAACTTTGACACATACGTCAGATTTTATGAATGGTCAAATAGTTTCCTTTAATTCGAAAAATAATCTAGACGTATATCACTCAACCTATAAATTTAATCTGTCAAACTATGCTCAGTAAGTTTTTTATTTGATTTTTCTTTTTGGAAAATAGTTTCATGCAAAATAATTAAAAATAAAACACCTCGACCGCTACGCGGTCTCGTGATTTTATTAAATTATTTTGCATTCAACATTTTCCAACAAAAACCAAACAAAAAAGTACTGAGCCTAGTTTACCCGATTAAATTCATAGTTCTCGTGATATATATGATTAAATATATTTTTTTATTTAAACGTCTATTGGTTTACAATTTTCCTTACTACATATTTTAGGTTAACATTTATAAATTTAAAATATTTTCAACTACCATCATGTATCATATAATTATTTTTGCTCATCTCTATGAATCCCAGCCATCCAAGCTTCTGAAATAATTTCAGGAGAGAGGCGGGAGATGTGGAGCTAATATCGGTTGTTCCAAACCATTCTTCTCCTAAATTGGACTTTCTAAACTTGAGACTGTCCACTTTTCCCAATGTATGATGGTTTTTGTTTAGTCTGCAGTGACCCGGTATAATTCCGACAAGTTCAGAAAGATTTAAACCTGTATATTAAAAATGTACGTTTATTTTTTTGTAAATTTTTAAAATGTTAGCGACTCTTGATTAATTTATCCGACATTAAATAAAAAGTTATTTGCGATTGAAATTCGTCGAAAATTAGTGTGAATCGAGTATTTTGCCGGTGAGTGAAAACAATTCGTCTGAATAAAAGTTTGCAGCGGGTACAGCAAATTTTAACCCAATATTTGGTTAAATTAAGTTTATTTAAAACAATTTTTATTTAAATAATGCGTAAAATCGTCGAGAACTTTTTAATGTGCCTGATATTTAAAATAGCTAATATTAAATTTAAATTAAACATATTTTTTCAGACGTCTTATGGGCCTACATATAAGATTTTTATAAGAGCGTCGGCTCAAAAACCTTTATGTAAGTTTTCTTTCAGGCAATATAATTTTGGAACCTGTTTAGTGCAAGCTAAACCTACAGAATACTATGGTACCATTCTTAAGTTCACCAACATGGATACTTGGCCAGTTTTGTAAGATTGACTTTGTTATAAATATTTTTAATATAATTTAATTTTATGTAGACTCGAGAGAGTATTGCAAGATCTACCTGGAATTAGTGTAAATTTTGCATCCGCTATAGTTAAAACTAACGAAGATGTGCACATCCCAATTTATTTTAATCCAACCTTAAATGAAGTCTACAACTATTTCCTTATATTTAATGTAAATTCTATAGCATATAAAATTGAAATTAATGGAAAAGGTGTAGATTTAGATATCAGTGTCAGTAAAAAATATATCGACATGCAATCCGTTTCAATTGGGAAAATTAAAAAGCAAATTGTCCAAGTTTTGAACAATACCGCTGCAGCAGTGAGTTTTGCCGTGAATTTAATAGATAGGCTGCCTTTTAATTTTAAAGAAAAAACTTTGGTTAAACCCGATATGAAGATACCAGAAATTCCAAAACCGTATGAATGAACTTAAACATAATACAGCTGTTTAACTAATTAAATTTGTTTAGGGTTAAAATGGAAAAAAAGTCCAAGAAAGGATCTAAGAAAGGTTCAAAAAAGAGTTCCAAAAAGGGATCCAAAAAGGGATCCAAAAAGGGATCCAAAAAAGGCTCCAAGGCATCCAAAAAGAAATCCAAAAGTAAAACAACTTCTAAGAAGGGCTCCAAGAAAAAATCTTCAAAGGTAAAATCGCGTACCTACATTAAAATTTAGTTAAATTTTAGTCATTACTAACTAACAAGCTAAATTTATATTTTATATAGGGATCGAAAAAAAGCAAAAAAAGTAAGAAAAGCAAGAAAAGCAAGTCCTCTAAAGGATCAAAGAAAGACAAAAGGAAAAAGAAGAAGAAGGAAGCAATATTTATTCCGTAAAATATTAAAATAAAAAGCAAATGTAATTTAAATATTTAAAAATATTTTATAGAGCGGAACCTGTTGAAACACCGGAAGAAAAACAAAAAAGATTGCTTTATGATAGCATTAGAATATCTCCAACAGTTATTAATTTAGGACCAAATATGAGTGCAGACTTGGAGGTCAGGTTTAAACCAATGGAAACTATGGACGATTTTATGGAAAAAGTAACAACTTTAAAAAATTAGACTTAAAATAAATAAATTTGTATTTTTCAGATATACTACGAAATCCAAGAAAATGTGGAACCTTTGTGTATTATTAAGGGTTCTGTAGCTGCTGCTGATTATTTGTGGGATAAGAATATTTTACTATTTGGTTCAGTTATAATTGGTTGTCAGTATTCTATATGTGCTTTACTAAAAAATAATGGAAATATAAAAGCTGGGTTTAAATTAAGTGTTGATCGTCCAGAACATTTTAACATTAGTCCAACTTTTGGAATATTATATCCAAAAACATGTGTACCAATTAACGTTGTATTTTACCCACAAGAAATATCCACCAAAATTTTAGCCACTGTAAGTTTTTTTTGTTTTTTGGATCATAGACAAGATACTATGTTCATGCTTTTTGACATTTGATTTCATTTGTATTATATATATTTCGCGAAAAAGTCAAATTACCGTTGCGCTTGTCAAAAAAATAGTGTATTGCTACATTCTCTTAGCTCGTGCAGAAAACTTCAAATCGCCACCTTTCTACCCAGTTTTTTATTTAATTATAATTTTATTCTAGTTTTTTTAAATATTTTTTAAGGTAAAATGTGAAGTTGAGAGCTTTAATGCACCAGTAGTATTACGCCTTAATGGACAATGCAAAAATATTCCTGATTCAAAAGAAACCTTAAGTTTTACTTGTCCAGTTAGAGAACAAATATCTAAGACTATTACTATAACGAATGAGTAAGTTAAAAAAAAGTATTTATGAAATTTAATATTTAACAATATCCTATTTTTAGCACAAACACTGTTTGGAAAATAAAAACAATTCTTGTTTCCAAACACTTTCATTGTCCTTCAGAATTAATTGTTGAAAAATATTCTTCTGAAAGCTTGGAAATCACCTATCAACCCATGGAAATGACTTTAATTTCAATGCATAACGTAAGCAATATTTAAAAATTAAGTTTATTTTTTAAACGAACATTATTTATTTATGTAATATCTATTAAAGCAACTTTAGAGTTTTTTTGTATTCACAAGAATACTAAAAATCAAACGAAATTTGACTAAAACTATTTTATTTTATATCTTGAAAACCTTATAAAAAAATTATTGTGATTTTTCACCAGATTGGAAAAAATAAAAATGTACATTTATTTTTTATTATAATAATATAATATAATATAATATTTTAAAGAAACATATTCAACATGATTAACATATTAAGAAAGTTGCATTCTTAGATTTAAAATAAATTGGTTATGTCGTTTAATTATGGTAAAACGTCCCCATATTAAAATAACTTTTTTAGAATGTCTTATTCTTACCATTGCCTGAGGGTCAAGGATTGCTTTATAAACTTTTAGGAACTGCAGAAAAACCTTTACCAATTACTAAAATAAATCGTGAAATCCACTGCAAAACCATATTCTCCGAAATTTTACCCATTGATAATTGGCTAAACTATGCACAATATTTCACGGTGACCACTGAATTAATAACACCAATAACAACAAAAATGTTGTATAAAGTTGGTGGAAGTCGGGTGACAGATCTTCAACCAAAAGGAACAAAAGATTATAAATGGTCAATATATGTAGTTAACGAAGGAAAATTGGATTTTAAAGTAATTTTCAAGAACGAAAGTACTAAGGAGTTTATGTTTTATGAAATATCGTTAACAGTTTTGCCAGGATTACCGTTGGAAGTTATATCTCTTAAGACATGTGTAAGGCAAATCGTTTCTCATATTTTAAAAGTTGAAAACCCTGTTGATATTCCTGTGACATACAACATATCTTGCGATTCTTCGTTTTTATTTTTTGAAAAAATTGTACCAGTAAACGCTTATAATGTGGTACGTATTAGTGGTAATGTAAGTCTTAAACATATAAAAAAAATTATTTGTAGCATGAATTACTTCTGGAATATAAACCTTTAAAGACGGAGGATACAAGAACCACCTTAAAAGTAACAACAGAGTCGCTAGGAACTTTTACATATGAAATACATTTGGTATGCCTTCCTGGATTACCTGAACCTATGGTGAAGTTCAAGACCAGTCTAAGTGAACCAAATACGAGTATTATTAAATTTCACAATAAATATGAAAAAACCTTGGAATTTATACCCAAGGTAAGGATTTTTTTGGACTATTTCCCTCGTCTTATTTTCCACCAAACACAAACGCGCAATTTTGAATTACAAATGGTTTCTAGGTGAAAAAACTGTATGACAGCACCAAAAATTTCAATTTATATTTTAATTGTTAACTGTTACTCATGAAATGGTCTTGTCAAATACCATTCGGGCATCTAATTTTTCCTGTGAAAAAAATCGAAAAAACACAATGCTAAGTAATATTTTTTAACAAAATGCATTCGTGCAGGTGCAAAAATCCTCGTCTTCGACTCGGATTTTTGTTGCCACCAGCACTCATGTTTCTTCTTAAAATAGTACTTAGCAACGTGTTTTTTCGATTTTTTTTCGGAAAAATTAGATGCCCTTACTTACGATAAAATATACATTTATTGTGTATTTATTTAGTTTGAATATGCAGTATTCAGTACAGATAATATAGCCCCTTTAAATGTTGGAGAAACTAGAGATATAGCTATTGTATTTGATCCTCATGAAATTGGTTTAATACACAGTAAATTTACACTTAGTACTAATTCTGCAGGTGATTTTATGTAAGTAAAAACAACTAATTATACAGGATGTTCCAAAGTTGCATTGTAATACTGAATGGTTTTAATCTTTATATGATTAAAAAAGACAGTTTATTATATAAATTATACAAAAAACATATCATACTTTGTATTTTTGGAAGCGAAACTATTGTTTGTATGAATAAGTTTAGTACGTGTTTGTTGTTCAAAATCAGACGAAACAAAACATCTGACCGTAAAGCATCCTATACTAGCGCCGGTTTTTGACATTTAAAATTGATGACGCAGTCAGATTACCCTATGCAAACTCAACTTGCGATTTGCTTATGAACCACGTCCATAATACATAGGTATGCTTCTGATTCTAGTTTTCTTTCAAAGAATAAGACCATTCCGTATAAGTATGCAAATTTTCAAAACCCTGATATTATAAATAAAAAAAAAACTTTTAGATATCCTTTGAGCGGAGAATGCACTCCTCCAAAACCTAAAGGTCCTTTTTACATAAAACCAGGGTCAAACATTACAATAACATTTAGAAATCCATTTTTGGAAGACCAGAAGTTTAATTTTATTATACCCAATGCACAAGCCTATTACATAAGGAGTAGTGGAGAATCCATAAAATTCAAGAAATCTACAAAAATTCAAGTTTATATGCACCCAAAAAACTATTTATTAAAAAATAAGATTGATTCTTCTAAGCCAATAACAGGAAAACTTGTTATATATTGCGATAAATATGATTTTAAGTGGGTGTACTATTTACAGAACGATACAGCATAGATGTAGGTATTTATTTTGTATTTTTATTTAATATATTTTTTGTGAAAATTCCTGTCTTTCAATTCGACATAAACACTAGTTTTGGATATTAAGACTAACTCCATGTTGTTTTATTGGAAGCAGTTTATAATTTCTTAATAGCTTTGAGATTAAACATTTCATTTGCAACATTGCGAATGTTTGCCCTAAAGTAAGCTTTTAGTTGCAGAATATTTTTGCTGCAATAACGGGTGATTCATTTAGACCTTTGTTTTTAAATTCCAATTAAATTGCATAAAATGGAATTGGATGGCATCTTTATTATGACCTGAAAGAACAATATTTGACATTTATTTTTTGAAAATAATTTCATTTAAATGCTGGTCGCACCTACGGCCTACGTGGTCCATTCCGAAGGTCCAATTTTCGATCACTCTTTCTAGGATTGCGACCGGTATCTGCCCAATTACGCGAGTATTGTTGGCTTCTTAGTCCTGAATCGTAGCTGGATTATCGACGAAGACTTTTGATTTAACATGACGGAGCTACGGCACACACAGCGCGCGAAACAATAGCTTTATTGAGAAATCATTACTCGGGTAATTAGGCAGATACCGGTCGAAATGCTAGAAAGAGTGATCGAAAATTGGACCTTTCGAATGGACCACGCTGTACGCGACCAGCATTTAAATGAAATTATTTAAAAAAAAATGTCAAAGATCGTTCTTTCAGGTCATAATAAAGATTCCGCCATTCAATTCCATTTTATGCGTTTTATTTAGAATTAAAAAAAAGGTCTGATCTATATATATGTAATACATATTATGTATATATATATATATATATATTTATCGCGACTTTTACAAAATATTCGATTCGTGTTAAATTTGATAAGATTTCAATATTCAGTTATTGAGATATTTAAATTTTGGTGTCTACTTAAAATACGTTGATTGCGTTTAATTTTGTTTTTTTTTTCACAGTTTTTTTTGACTTAGTTTTTTCTAAAGATATGAAGGCATGAGTAAAATTACTCAATTTTAAATAGAAACGTATATTTATTGAAAAACAGCTAACAAAAAATAAAGAAACCATTCTAAGGTAAAAAAAATTCATAATATCATTGTTTTTAAGAACATTCACGTTTAGCTCGCAGCAGAGCAGCAACAGCAGCCCAGTAGATAAGACCTGAAGATGGTACATGAGAATGTACCGAAACGTCGCGACGTCAGACATACGGTTCTAGTATGTGTAGATAACGGCACGTCATCCTCGTCACTGAACCCACCCTCGCCATTGTCTTTACTCTCTTAAAATTAATTAGTCTAAAATGACCCAGAACACTATTTAAAAAGCAGTATTATGATTGCACCATGGTCCCCTACCGAACATTTGTTTAATACTTTTAATATTTTCCGCTAGGTAGCACCGCCGCCGCGCGCGGTTGAATTAAAAGATTTTGACCGATTTTGACATGGTCAAAATCTCCTGTCAAAGTAGGTAAAAATCTCGGTCAATTGACCGTGGTCAATTGACCAGGTAAAACCCTACCTATAGGTATTTGGTTATTACTTCTTCTTCTTCTTCTTCTTCCTTGGTGGCCAAAGGCCTTAATGGTCTCGGTTTCAATGTACCACTTTGACCAGAAGCAAGTTTTAACGTATGTGCGTTTCACGATGCCATCCACCCATAGACACGAGAATATTCCAATCTTGGAACATCCACTAAATCTTTTGTACAAATCACAAAATACCTCGCTAAAAGGTCAAAGCCTGCGATATTGTTCAAAAATACAGGTATATTTCTATACCCGGAATTCAATCTTATCCATCCTGGGTCAAAGTCAGCTATGTTTCATACTTTTTCATCGAGCGATGGCCCAGAGCTGCGATGCACTACACACGAAAGACAAAATCGTTATTACGGTGCTGTTATAATACGACACTAGCGGATGGCGACAGTCGGTCATTAGCTGCATTTTATTGCCCATTCTCCCTATTCTCCCTTAAATGAATGGTTGTTTTTTTGAGTCACAGAATGATTCTTCTGTCATTAATGTCATTCCGATGATTCCTTACTTTTGTTTGGAATCTTTAGAATGAGGCAGAGTGGGGGGATATTCCCCTGAAAAAAGTGCATTTAACAACCGTTTCTATTATGGTGTATAATAAACCCAGCAAGTAATAACTGTGCGTTATCCATATTTTTAAACTTTAAAAAGAAAATTGAGGTCACAATCCACACAATTGGTTATTAGGTTCATAAATTCCCCCACCTTTGGCAAAGTGACAGGGCTCAGAATGAATTTGCAAACGGGAATCATTCTGTTTTTATTCCATTCCACTTTCAATAAAATGCGCCTATTATTAAGTTGACAGTGTTGCCGGTTTAATCAAGTAATAATTGGACTAGAGGCTAAATGTATAAAGTATTCCTCAAGGTTATGAGGAATAGCTGTCATCTTGGTTATGCAGGTACACTGCATTGTGCCATACCAAACTAACCCAAACTTAACAACCCAACCCAACCGACCCCGCCCCATTGGGCCCCTCCCGCCCCATTGAGCAATAGAGGTATAATATATATAAGGGCAGGCTGGATTGTGACAATGGGGCGGGAGGGGCCCAATGGGGCGGGGTCGGTTGGGTTGGGTTGTTAAGTTTGGGTTAGTTTGGTATATTAACCTATAATAAAATAAAATTAATTACTCAACGATTTTTGAATTATTTCGTAAATAACAAATTTTTAGTACAAATAATACTTTTATGATTTGATTGAATTATTTACCATTTTGTCGTTTTGTAGGTTAGTTTTAACTTGACGTTTCTTCTATTTTGATTAAACCGGCAACACTGTCAACTTAATAATGACCGACTGTCGCCATCCGCTAGTTAATACGACCCTGTTTAGTGTAAAAGAACTACTAAAATTTGGCTTATTGGACCTATTTTGACATTTGTTTGTGTTTCCTAACCTAAAAGTTCTCACCTTTTTCTATGGTTCTCACTTTTAAGCTTTTTATTTATGTGCTTTTGCGTCGCAAATTAAAACTAAAATGCCTTTACCGCCTGCATTAATAGCAAAACTATCCAAAAGAGGAATAGTAGCACGTAAGTGACTTTACAATATTTTAAGGTAATAAATTGTTTATAAATATTTTTAGCTAAAAAACCATCTGATAAATCTAAAAAACAGGATTTTAAAGGTTTATCTGCCTGTCCTAATAAAAACAATATATACCATGATTGTAATTTTTGGTGTGAAACACATTGGAAAGGAGTTTTAACTCCTGATGCCAAATATGTAAGAAACATGCAAAAGTTAATGGTAAAATATTCACTACCCAATAACTGGACTGAAATTTTTGATAAAGGAGTGTATGTAACCAAATTAAATTTAAATTAATTTTAAACATAACAAAATGTTTTAATTGTAGTGGCAGATATTATTACTGGAACATGGAGAATGATATGGTGTCCTGGTTACCTCCAAAACACCCCAAATCCATTAAATCAATAAGTGCTGCAAAATTGCGAGAAAAAAGATTAAAACAAACTTTAGAACAAGAGGAAAAAAAGGATAAAGAACCAGAACGTGACCGTCGAGAAAAGGACAGAGATTCTGACCAAGATTCTGATGATGAAAGACCTTACAGGTCCAAACATTCAGAACGTAGAGACAGAGACAGGGACCGCGATGATTCTAGATATAGACGAGATGACAGACACAGAAATAAGAAAAGCAGAAAAGATGATATTGATCCTATGGACCCTGCTGCTTATTCTGATATACCTGTGGGCAAGTGGAGTGATGGTTTGGAAAATAACAGTGGTAGAGCAGACAATACTGCTTCAGGGGTTTTGTATCAACAAAGACCTTATCCTGCTCCTGGAGAAATTCTTGCAGCTAATAAGGATAAGATTAAGAAAAAATAATTTAAACAAAATTTTCTATTAAATACTATAAGTATGTGAGTAAATATAAGGTTTTATGATAAACTTTTATGAATAAGCATACCTTCTTTTATTTATTTTGCCTAAGGTTTGCCTGAACTTGATTGATGTTGGCGACTAATTAATTTTTACCTGGTGAAGTTATTTGTTAATTACTTAATTTCGCATTAAAGTTTAGTATTTGGGTATTATTTAGGTCATGCAATTTTGTTAGTTTTACTTATACGGTTTAGAGGCAGGTGTGGTAAAGTTATTCCTTAACGCGTTGTTTCTGTGTTGGTAATCCAGGAAGTTATTTGATGTATCCAGTCACCTCCCTCACACCGTTTTTCACAGGTAGAGCACTCTGCCCTGATAGCAAAATTTGATTCTAAGAATCTTCTAAGAAGATATGACCTGGAATAATGGAATATTCTTAGAACCTTCCCTTATTGCTTCAATAGATACCCTTTTAATGATGCAATTAGATTCTTAGAAGCTTCTTAAAACCTTCCTAAAAAGCATTCTAAGAACATTTTAAGAATACGTTTTTGGAATGTTCTTAGAAGGTTTCTTATGGAGCTTCTAGGAAGCTTTTGAGAATATTTCCAAATATGTCAGATACCCACGTTCTAATATGTTGAATTCTACATTCGTAAAATTCTTCAGGAGGCGACAAATACGCCTCACTGTCATAATATGACAGTGAAATGTATTTGTTGTCCCCTTAAAAAATTTTGCGACATATTAATATATATTTATTTAAAAATATTAAATAAACAATTTGACCTCTAAACCATAAGTTGTATGACATTATTTCATAAAAAGTAAAATTGTAAAATTTTGTGCGATAAGTCAGATTAGATTGAAGTTGAAGATAGTTAGGATTATTATACATAAAAATGTTAATTCAGATATAAAAAATCGGTATACAAATTAATAAATTTAACAAAATAAAATATTAAAAAACAAAATATTTCCTTATAAAATAATTCTTCATAAAAGAAAAAACCAAACTGTGCTATCAGGGTGGGACTTAATCCAGGTGAAGGTGCCACACCCACACGCTTTTTGCAGTTGGTTCTGGTAGATTACGTGTAGAGTATTGATTGTTTTTATGAATTTGAACAGCGATAGCGGTGTGTATGATCGCGTTTTACGAAAGAATAGACACGACCTTTTACCTCGAAGTAAGGAGCGTCACTCACATTTTCAGAATTTAGTGTAGTATTTAAAAAAATATTAACTTGGTTTCTGACAAGGGCTCTCTTGGAGATTTAAATTGAAAAAACTTCTCTTTTTTTAATCCAATCAAGAAAACAAATTTAATTTAGCAGTAAAATATTATTTAAAATTAGTCATCATAATTTAAAATTTTAGGAAAATGATTAAATAATATTTATATTAATAATGTTTATTACACTCACTTTATTTATTAGGTACTAAAACCAATTAAAATATTTAAAGATTAATGATTTTATTCTCGTTACGGAAATGTTAATGATAACATGTTAAATCTGTAAAAATAACATAATTTTATCTGTTTGCTATTATCTAAGCACATTTGCGCTCCGTTAGCAACATAATGTCAACATGATTATGTTTACATAATATTATGTTATTTTTGTTTACAATATATAGTTAACATTAACATTTCCTTACAGAATAGCACCATAAATCAAAATAATTTTTGATAAAATTTTAAATTTTGATGACCCATCAAAATATTCTACAAAAAATCTATTTACTTTTTTACAATTTAACAGCAAAAAACATTTTCATAGAAAATCAAACTTAAGTTAAAAGTTTTAACCAAAAAGATACTTTAATATGGAGCCGAGTTTTATTCAATCAAACGAAAAAAGCAAGATTTACCCACATGCTTTTTCAATGGAAAAACTTGAACGTTGTTAGAGTTCCAGAGCTCAAAATTGGACTGAAATATTTACATATGTGTAAATCAGGATTAGAGTTATCAATTTCATTTTTGTTAAGGAAACCCAATTTTCAGAACAGTTGTTTATTCAAAAATAGGTATTATTACATACACACTTTTGTAGATCTACCTATATATTATAATAAAATTATATGCTTTATTTTTTTATTAGAAAACCTAATTGTTTTAAAATAAACAGGCTTATTCTACTAAACTATATATTTTAAAGTATAAAACAATTTTAAAGGATCTATACAATGACAGCTAATATCATTTGTGCTAAAACAATATTTCCAATACATTTAAAAGTAAAAAATCATCAAAAAGCAATAATTATGGTAAATGGCTTTGAATATAAATTGTAAAAAATGCAATGGGGCTAAAATACCTAGAAAATTTCCATATATATACAAATAATCCAAGTACAATACTTAATTAACATGATGGGAAAATCGTGTTTATACTTTAGCCTAACTAATTAAATGTACTATTGATGGAAAGTTTGAAATGTAAAAGTCTCTGATGGAACAGTGGCATATGTCACAACAGCATCTTGAAACACAGCTGAACTTGTTCCCGGTAATAGTTTATTTTCCTCGAAATTATTCGGTATGGTAAAATTTCCGACACCTACTTCAGTTTTGAATTTTAACTCTTCTTCACTACCCCCCTGTATTACGGTGGCCAATCCAACTATCCCTGGGGCATACGTCACCAATTTGGGCTCAATGGTCATCAATGATTGGACCGTTTCCAATTTCGGTGGTAATATTGTAGGGACACCTGTAGATACTACAACCGGCGGTACTGCTGTCTCGGCTTTCTTATTCAAAAATTTGAATTTAATTGGTACCGGATCCCCTATTGGAGTAACAACAGGTTCTACTCTGTGCCCACCTAAGATATAAAAACAGTATTAAAAATGGCACATTATTCTATTGGACAATATTCCCAAACTTTCCCCTGACTTTATTTAGTGTAATTTTTTGTCAAAAAATGAGATAAAGTTAACTTTATTGAAAAAAAAAATGTTTCAATAAAAAAAAGATTATTTGGTTTGCCAAGTTACTTAGCACAAAATACACATAATATATATGGGCAATTCTTTTTTGGTTACGTTACAATTTCACGCACATTTTTCGAAATAACTGTTTTGTTTATTTTTTTTGGATATTTAAGTTTCAGTACATTTAAAGGCATTAAAAAACTCCGAAATATTCGGTCTTACCATTGCGAATAATTGCATAAATCTTGTTGATTGAAGAAGGCGACAAAATAGCTAGAGATCAAGACAAAGTGAACAAATAAAAAGAAAATTAAGGGAGGATACAACAAGAAGAGCAAAAATAGAAATACAAAACTTGACACCAGCAAATAAGTTGGTTAGTCACTATGGTACAGAAGAATTAAGTCCTTGAGCGACATGGGAATTAAGTCACTAACTAGAGACGGAAAAGCATTTAAGACATTTCCCACACCAAACAAATTCCCTCATACCCAACCATAGCCAACGAAGGACTCCCGGAGCACTTCGCAACTTTCGACGATCTGGAGCCGCAACAAGAAAGCCCGAGGGAAGACATCCAACCAGAAACAGAAACTCCATTGAAGCTAAGGAAGGAGGGAGTGTGGCGTATTATTCAAAGTGTAGGTACCACATTGTATATCAATATTGGTTTGTAATTAAACACTTTGTGAAATAATAATGAAATTTTTTTATTATTTAGCAGTAGATATTTTTATCGCGATTTCCAATTTCTGGAGAATTGCCCATATATTGTATTGTTTTCAGAAAATAAGACGAAATTAGCGTTAAACTGACCAATTATGGACTTTTTGATGTGGACCATACAGAATATATATATATATATATATACTATTTTTATTTTTTTCGCTTCCAACTCAAAATCTTGTTTATAATGTTCAAAAAAAAATTCCCTGAAAATTTGAGCCCTTAATATTAACTCAAAGTACTCGAACAAAGCGTATAAAGATTTCCCATTTAAAATACACGTAAACTTTGATTATTTTTTTTTAAATATCTATATCTCAGCCGCATTTTATGCTATTATATTGTTTCAAAAAAGGATTTACTCGTAATCAAAAGTTCTTTATGTGCCATAGCTGTAATCTGCACATGTAGGATGGTACAGGTCACTAAATCTTATTTTAGTGAAAAATTATCATATTTTTGAAGATATTTCAAAAGTGACTGGATTCTTTGAAAGAATGTAAAGAACAAACTTGTAGAAAGTTTAATTTTTTTAAAAAAAGGTCCTATCAGTTGAATCGCTAAGATTGATATTTGTTGAGATATAAAGCGTTTACATTAACAATTTATGAAATTTTTAGGATTTTCGTATCAAAATTTTTATAAATGATGATTTTCAATTGTTTATCAGTACAATTTCATGTAATTAAGTTTTTTCTACAGTCGGGTGATTAGAGAAAAATAAATAACTAAAACAATCAAGCATAATTATTAATAATATAACATGTTGTATGTAATACACCTCGTTATGTCAATTTTTAGGTTAGATATATCTTTTCTCTTTAAATTTTCTACAAGTTTGTTCTTTACATTCTTTCAAAGAATCCAGTCACTTTTGAAATATCTTCAAAAATATGATAATTTTTCACTAAAATAAGATTTAGTGACCCGTACCATCCTACATGTGCAGATTACAGCTATGGCATATAAAGCATTTTTGTAGAACTTTTGATTACGAGTAAATCCTACAGTTGTATCTTGAACTTTTTGTTATTACACTATTGTTTTTTTGTAATAAAAACATTGGAAACATCTTATTGCGATCCCTTTAGTTTTATTCTAAGGCTGAATTCGTTTCTTTGAAGATATTTTCATAGCATTAAACATTTATTTGCGATTTAAAATAAAATCATAAATCAAATCACGAAATGTATAACTATCAAGAAATAAATATTTTTTACCTTTAAGATCAGGTTGGGTCTCCATCCAATGTCCGGTGGTTCTCCTGTGCGTTTTGAGTTGTCCGGACTGGATGAACCGAGCCGGACAAACACCGCAGGCGTAGGGTCTAGCGCCAGTGTGTCTGCGCATGTGCAATGCGAGATCATTCGATTGGGTGAATGCTCGACCACAAATACTGCACACATATGGTCTCTCACCGGTATGTACTCGGCTATGACGCAGCTGAGGAATAAAACATAATAGTTATACGCATTGTCTATTAATAATTGGTATTTTTCTACTCCCATGTTTGCAACACAGATTATTGTATATGTTTCCATGACGCTAACTGATATTTTAAATATAAAATATCAGTTAGTATACTATATAATATATTTATACACATTGACAAGCTGTGACTTTGTGCGTTGTAGTCACGATTTGATCTTAGCAACAACGTGTTTCGGGTTTTTTTAATTCACGGGCTGAAGTTAGCTTTAGGTTTGTTGTCACTTGTCATACAATTTCTTTTGTCGTAAAATAAAGTGCAGTGTGTAGCATGAAAGTTTTATAGTCGATTGACCAATTGCGTACCGAAAACGTGGCTAATACTAGCAAAATGTTTATTCTAGTGAGTTTTAATTTAAAATTTTAATATTCTTTAGGTGACCAACTCCTGAAAGTAAAAATCTGAGACAATTTTTCGAAAAATATTTAGTTATGCCGATTAATATCTAATCGATTTGAATATTAGTAGATGAAATCGTTTTACTTTAAAAAGACTTAAGATTATTTTGATGCCGCTAAAGTAAATTTGAATGTCAGTGAAACTTTTCAGTCAGAAAAGTAAATAATGAAGACTGGAAGAGAAATTCTAATCGATATCGTCATGTTTGATGATTTTGTAAAATTTTGTAAATGTCGACTTATAAATTTTCATTTTCGAGTAAAAACAGAAATACCTTTACGTTTTTAGTCACATACCTATTTGACGGAATTTTTATATAGATTATACTTTGCTCTGAGCAAAAAATGCTACGCCATTGTTCTTTAGATAGATTTTTTTTTAAGTCGCTGTAGATGTAGGGGTTATTAATCTACGGTAGATGCGTTGTATATTTTGTTTCCATAACAACCGTTTTTAGACGTTTTCCAAATCGGCTAAAACAATACGCTGTGTTGTCGAGTTTCTTACTTAATAACTCGAAAAGTACTTGTAAAAGTTTTTTATTTGAAGATATTTTTTTCAGTTGTGTTTCTCCTATTGATTATTTAAATAACAATGGCAATTAACTTTGTATACTATTAACTTTTATCTAATAAATAATTGTTGCAAAAAAATTTAAAATATCTTATTTTCTGTCTATGTATCACAAATAAGTAAATTGAATCTTGTTAGCGATAAATGGCAGCCATCTTGGGTCCAGCATTCTTAATTTTGCACATTAGACTTTAAATTCGATTTAAGCGAAATTACGGGATACTATTTTTGCGTAAAACAGCAGATTTTGTTTAATATTCAATGTCCATTTTGTGTCCGCCGTTTTGAATTTTGGAAATTTTACTTTAAATTCTTATTCTGCGACCCCAAAAAGTATTAACGATTTAACTCTGACAAAAACCACTGGCACAGCAGGTATTATCAGTTCGCCAACTAGTTTTTTTTATTTTAATTAAAAACATCGCTATTATTTAAAAAAAACTATTGGTAAAAATAACATTTTTAAGAAACTAAAATTAATATTATACTTTAAAATAGGTAATTTAAAAAACTTACCAATTTATTACTCTTGTTAAACGATTTTCCACAAATATTGCAATGATAGGGTTTCTCTCCAGAGTGAGTCCTTTCATGACATTTTAAATCATGGGATCTTGGAAAACCTTTGCCACACTCAGCGCACTTGTATGGCCTTTCTCCAGTGTGCCTTCTCATATGAACAATCTAAAAAATAAATAATTAAACATTTTTACTAGTATTAAAAAAAATCTTGTTTTAGCAATTTAACTTTTTAGTTAACTTACCATATTGCTGGAATTATTAAACTCCTTCCCGCAATAAATGCATAGATGCAGTTTGGTGGCTTCCTTGACTCCCGTGTGTATTCTCTGGTGAGTTTTTAAGTTGTCTAACCTGTTGAACGCTTTGCCGCACTCCAAGCAAATGTGACGTTTGTCTTGTTGCAAGTGGACTTTGGTATGTCGCGCCAACTCGTGCGATTTCGCAAACGTCAGATCGCAAATAGAGCACTTCGACACTTCCTGTTTATCTTTCGAAGCTTGATGGACTTTCAAGTGCCTTATCAGGTGTTCGCCGCGACTAAACGGTTTGTTGCATATGGTGCACACGTAAGGCTTGTTGATGTGCTCTTCTTCCACGTGTTTCTCGAGGTACTCTTGGGCCGCGAACGCCTTATCGCACCGGTCGCACTTGTGCACCAAAACGGCCCTGTGCAGCGTCATGTGACGCGTCAGGTGGTTCGCTCTGCCGAAAACGGCCGAGCACACGTGACACGTGTGCACTTTAACCGGTTTGTCCTTCTTGTCCTCGTCCCCGTCGATAGGGAAGTCCGGGTCGTCTTCGTCCATCGTCGGGTCGGCGCCGCCGGCTTCGGCCGATTCGCCGCCTTCTTTGTTCGCGGCGTTCGCGTCGACAGAGGTGTTTCCTGTGGTGGTCGCGGTGCATTCGCCTTCGGTTTTCACGTAGGCCGAGAAATCGTCGTTCTCGTCGGACATACCGTGCTCGACCTGCATGTGATGCGCAAAACTTTTCTTGTATTTGAAACGTCGGTCGCAAAATTCACACTCCATGACCTTTAAATAAGTTTGGTTAAATTATATTTATTAACACATGAAATTAACAATTTATATGGTTCATACACTCACAATATAAGTATTTATAGATAAAATTCAATGTATGTATAATAAAATGATTTTTTCTACTCCCACCTTTAAAACTCCCTTTATCGTACAAGTTAGTTGGCAGTTGTCAAATGTCATACAATCGTTAAAAGTGACTTTCTTGTAAAATAAAACTAAATGTGAAAATTATTTTATTATCTCAATACAAAAATACAAAAGTATTAAATTTTAATTTCGCCGGCAGTAAACTATAACTTAAATTCGGACACGGACTCCACTGTAAAGTTCTCATAAAACATTTTCTTTACTTTCACTGTGAAAAACTGTCAATTTTCAAAAAATACATTTCGATTTATAACCTTTATAATCTGTGTTTATAAAATAAAAAAATTTGACATTTGACTGTGACACACAGATTCCCCTATTGTTTCATAGATGGCGTTCTATACAAATTTTGTATTTAAATCATTTTAAGATAATAATAAGTATTTGTCGTAGAAAAAGTATAGTATGCACCTCGTTTATAAACTTTTCTATGCACTCATTAATTTAATTAAAATTATTTAATTATATTTATTATAAATTAAATTCGTGTATAAAATGGCGTTTATCAAACTTGATACATAATATACTATTATTTTGGAACTCAATCTTGTATTATGCATAAATGTTAGTCCTTGCTGTAAAAGTGAGATTTGAGTTCCTTTGATTAGATATAACTTATTACATAGTTCAGTAACTGTTGTTGGATATCTATTCTTTAATGAGTAAATGGCTTTATTACTCTTAAACTTGTTTTTAATGCGAATGACAAAATAGTATATTCTGTAACAAGTTTGGAATACAGCATATTCCGCTCGAGTGAAGAGTTTCACGAGAGCGGAATATGCAATTCCAAACGTGTTTCAGACTATACTTTTTCTACGTTTCCAAAAAATACCATAGAAAAATAATTTAATTGGAAGAAAGTGAGGTTGGATCGGTCTAAAATTTGTTAGATATTAAAAACAGAGATGTCGCCACGAGTGTCATCAGATGATAGAATATTTCATTCTGTAACACTTTACGGAATATATGTCATTCCATAGATAAAAGTGATATTAGAAGGGTCAAATTCCGTAATAGGGGTAGAAAAAAATATTTTTTCTACTCCCACCTTTAAAACGCCCTTTATCGTACATGTTTCCATGACACTAAGTGACCTTTTAAATACGCATGCGCATTTACTGAGCTTTACCCGTGCGTTCACTATGAATTCAAGGGGCCGACGCATCTTTTAGCAACCGTACATTCACGCGCAAGCAACATTTTTCACCGTGCATTCACGAATGTTATCTGGGATATAAAATATTAAAGCTTCTATGAACTAAAACTGACCTGTTTCTCCTTATCCTTTTCTTTTTTGATGGGAGAGACTGGCTCTACTATCCCATGTATGGCCATGTGTCTATTTAAGTGACTCTTCTTAGTAAAAGATTTATCACAAAGCTAAAAGAAATAATTAATTAAACATTAAATCTATTTAAATAAAAGAAAAGTAATATAGCTACAATATAGTTTCTAATATTTACTAGTTTTTTGGCCAATTTAATTTAAACATTGACAGTATCTGATATTGCTTCAGTATCTCCCTTAGTGTGGTGGGTGAAATAACAGACGTTTGCGATAAAAAAGTTTTTTGAATACATACTTTCATATAAAAAGTATAGATTTTGACCCACTAAATATAAAATATTTTAAACGAACATTTTTTTGTAAAAATTAAAGTATGACTGGAGTCAAAAAATCCCTTAAAGTTTTATCCCTAAATATTGATCCCACTTTAATTTTGATTTTAAAATGTTTCCTTTAAAATAACAGGAAATTTAGATTTTTTGTATACGGAAGTTTGAGAAACTTTCAGTTCAAAATATAAATTTGTCGCTTATAATATTAATACATTTTAAGACTTAATGGGTATTAATTTAAAAAATTTGACTCTTTTGGAATTTTCAAAATTCGTGACCGAAACCTAAAATTGTTTAGTTACAAAACAAAATTTTTTAGTGTTCTATGAAAACATGTCAGCAATACTAAACTTTAGTATTGCTGACATGTTTTCATAGAACACTAAAAAATTTTGTTTTGTTTTTTGCACCACCCCAATATGTACATAAAAAACATTTACCAAAAATATGTCTACCCCTAGACAAATAATTGCAGTTTTTTATGTATTGTAATTTTACTCTTAAAATTTATAAACTAAGCAATAAAATAAACGTACAACCAAATATAAAAGTGTGGTGAAATGCTACTTTTGTTTACATTCCCGTTATCACAGGATGTCCGTTTTTCGAGGCTAAGCCCCATGCTCATTATCTTACTTATCTTCAGAGAGTTGTTAAATTAGAAAAAAGTTAGACATTTTGATCTAAAAAGAAATGACTTACCATTTTTAGTTTTCGATATAACGTAAAAATCAAATTTTGTAATTTTTTAAAACAGTTGAGGTAGCCTTTTCTAACTCATTCTTAAGGCTTTTTCTATTGATTAAAATGGTGAAAAGAGAATAACGATTCAACGTCAAATTAAAAACAAAATATTTTTTACATTTTTACATATTTTAAACGAAAATTTAATTTGGAATAATAAATTGTTTTTGCATAAGGGATAATAACAATTTTTTGTTCCAAATTTTCAAAATATGTAAAAATATACAGGGTGTCTCATTTAAAAAATGTTATTTTTTGTGAATATACCGGAAACTCGACGTTAAATTAATTTTCTGCTTTAGCACTTTAATCAAAGAAAAACATGCCACCAATTTGCTTATTTAACCGACTTTGTAGCACTAATAATATCGGAGTTAAAAATGGTGAACTCTTAACTTTGGACACAGAGTATATTATATTATATATAAATATTATATTATAATAAATAAAAAGTCTTATATAATATCATTATATAATTATCCATATTTAAAAGTAGCTTAAAAGTTATAAATATTCTTTCTTAAGACATTAAAAAAAATCGAAAAGCTTCTGATTTTGTTTGTAATTTTTTCTACTATAAATAAATATTAATTACTCCCTGTCCATACATAATATGCTAAAAGGAAGTACCTTATTCTAGAGCAATTTAAAAAAGTTATATAAAAAATCATCTAAAACCACCTTCCTGTATAGGTAATAGTTTCTAATTAGATTTTTTAAAACCTTTTTGAAAATATCAATAAACCAGTACCTGTAGGTATATTGAAATATCTTATTTATATATAATATTTCAATATTTATATTAATTAATATATTAATATAAAGCAAAATTATAAAAAATATATATTCAACCAAAAAGTTTTATAAAATATTAGGTATAGCTAATATTGTTTTATACAAAAAATGTTTATGAAAAATATAAGGCATATAAGTTATTTTATAATCATCTTTATATGTGACACAATCTGAGAAAAGGAACCTTGCATCCAAAATCAAATTTTACAGTAGAAGCGATTAAATTCCACGCGATATGGACGTTTCAAAAATTAATAGCAATGTATTTTTTTTTAGATAAACATCCGAGGGGTCAACCACTGTCGGCAATACGTGCACAAATTTTATGCAGTACAAAGGCAGTACAAAGGCAGTGACCGCAATACTTCGACAGTATCGGCAGTATGCAGCTGTAAATAGGCAATATAGGCAGTACGGGAGCAGTACTTCGGCAGTACATGTGCAGTATCGGCAGTAATTCGGTAATATTCAGCATTTAAGTCTCATCTAACGTACTTTCTTAAAATGAATTAGTCAAAAATAACTAATTATAAGTTATATTTGACAAATTGTCATAGCGAAAAAGCAGCCACTAATAATTAGTCAAATTCTACTGAATAAAATAGTCAAATTAGTAGATTTAAATTTAAAAAAGTTTTGACCCAGCCAGGTATTGAACTCAGGTCTGTCACTTGTCAAGCTTGTCAAGTTGTTGTCATAACCAATGTGGTTCTTAGCCGCTCTTATAAAAATTATATACCTAATATTTTAAAGTTGAATTTGTGTTGCTGTTTTGAGCTAAACTTTTTGCATCTTTGTTTGATTTTATGGGCCATTTAACCATGGAGCCTATAGATATGCATTTAATTAAAATAATACTTTGTTGTTGGCCGAAAACGATTAAAGAAATTAGTTACTTTTAACTCCTTGTAAACAATTAGAACATATAATAACATTAAATATTTTAAGGTTTTAAAATGTAAAAAAAAGGAACAATAAATTAAATTCTTAAAATTCGGATGTTTTTTTGATAAACATACATTCATAATTCACAGGTAAAGACATAATATACATATATGTAAAACTATGGACAGTGTGTGGGCAGTAAAGGCAATGTTGAAAGTATCTAGGCAGTAAGTAGGCAGTATAGGCAGTAAGAGCAATAAGTAGGCAGTATAAGCAGTAAGTAGGCAGTAAAGGCAGTATAAGCAATATAAGCAGCATAGGCAGTAAGTAGGCAGTAAAGGCAGTAATTGGCAGTTCGGCAATACGTGTACAAATATCTGGCTAGTGGTTGACCCCTCGTAAACATCTATTTGGACCTTTTAAATTACCACTCCACTTAAAATAATGATAATCTTGATTATCAGTTTTTGGACACTAGGTCCCTATCTCAGATTTTGTCACATATAATAATGATTATAGTTCTATATTCTAATAACTTATGACTTATTTAATTTAACTTTTATTTTCCATAAACATTTTTAGTATAAAACAATATTAGGTATACCTAATACGTTATAAAACTATTTGGTTGAATATATTTTTTTTCAATACCCAATTTACAGCATTTTTTGTATTTATTACCTTACAAACAGCCAAGTCATCCCCAGTGTGCCTTCTCATGTGAATTTTTAAACCCACATAAGTGGTCATAATCTTAGAGCATTCCTTACACTCATAAATAGCTTTATCTTTTTTTTCAGGCCTCTCCTTTCTGGTATTGACTTTAAACAAAACATCATCCTTATCATCTTCTTCCTCTGAAGGATCACTGGCATCAAACCCATCATAAAACATATCAGTGGCATCTCCATTATTGTCTTCCTTATTATCCTTATTATCTTCAGTGTCAGTTTTGCTTTCATTTAGTTCTTCAACTTCAATTTGAATATTTTCAGAAAAATCTTCAAGCAAATACTCCTCTTTTACTTGAGCGTCATTATCATTAACTTCATGGATTTTTCTGTGCTGCATCAAATCAGCAGCCTTGGCAAATTTTTCACTACAATCTGAACAATCGTGTTCCAAACCAGGTTTATCATGGGTGCCTAAATGTCTCAACAAATGATTAGTTCTGGTAAATTGTGAGCTACATATAAAACAATATTTCAGCTTTTCTCCAGTGTGCTTTCTTTCATGTAATCTTAATCCTTTTTTAGTTAGTAAATCTTTATTACAATATGTACAAGTAAATAAACTCTGCTTAACTTTTTTGGGTCTGCCTCTTTTTCGCTTGACTCCAAACTTTGATAAAGGCTCATCATCATCGTCATCATATAAATCTGGTTGGACCACAATATCTTCTTGTTTGGGTTTACTTTCCACTTGATTCGTTATTTGTCTTAAAGTACTATCAGACTTTTCACACTGTTGCTTAAATTGATAGGCTATGTTCAGTTTGTTCTCACATATTGAGCACAAAAGTGTTGGAAGTCCATCATTATTTGTTACCTGAAACGCAAACACCTCTTGTTACGTAAATCCCAGGCACATTTTTACAAAACTTACCGATACAGAGGCACAAGCCATCATCATATCAGACAATTTAATGGTTTCTCCTTCATTTTCGGCAGTGCTTTCAAATACATTGTGCATATCCTCATTTTCGCACAAACACGAACGACAAACTTTGTCGACCGCTAATTCGGAATCTTTGTGTATCATTTTTCTCCGATTTTTTTGCATAAAAATGCTATAAACACATACCTGTCAAATTATTTTAGACAGATTGTTGGCAAAAGAGGAATCTGTAATTATTACCAACATTTAATCAAAATAAGGAGTTGCCAACTGTGTTTTCATTGAAAAAAGTAATTACGCTATTTAAATACAATTTTTATTGTTTTTATAACCTTCTATACATAAATAAATAACAACAATTAAGAACACAAACATCGATTAATCCCATTTAGATTTTTTCTTTAAGAAAGTCTCTGTCCCATCATCTTTGACAACTGTATAGTAACCCTGCTGTTCATGCTGGTATCTCATATAAGCAATATATCCGGTACAAGTTGCTAATGCAATTAATCCCAATCCCATAATAGCAAGATTCTAAAAAATAAATAAAAAAATATTTTTTGACTTAACATACTTAACCTAAAAATCTCACGGGTTTGGCGTAAAGCTCAAAGTTAACAGCTTTAAATATTCTACTGGTTTTAAGGGAGCGGATTCCATCACCTGGGGCCGGTTCTTTTTGATCATTCATGGTGTGTTTATGCTTTTAAAATAATAGTTTGACAATCCACATAACCTTTTAATTTTAACTATTGAAAAACTTATTGAATAAAAATTTGAACTTATAAAATTTATCTAATGGGATAAAAGGTGGAAAATAAAGTCGGGTCTACAATTCATAGATTAGATAAAGTACAATTGTCGCAGGTCGCAGTTTCCAGATCGCAGAACAATGTTCAAAGAACGTTGCCAGACCACGAAAAATTTCCGTACTGATTTAGAATGAAAAACGTACTGATTTTAATAAAAAGTACTTTAAAAAAAAAAAAATACAAGATGTTAATATTTTGACGTACACCTCGTTTCTTATTGTAGTACACGTTCATCGCCCATAATGGCGGGTGGGGGCGTTGCAACCACATACTTAAAGTATAAAGCCTGATTTATAGATTGCCTTCCTTCCTTCCTCCCGTAAAAGATGAACAATACGAAAATCGTAGTGCCATAGTAGGGGAATCTTTAAACTGCACAACGGTTTTTGTACTGTTCATCTTCTACGGGAGGAAAGATTATTTCCGAAAGAAGGAAGGCAATCTATAAATCATGCTTATAAGTGTGGGTTCATAATGACCGTTAGAATAAGCATAAGAAATACATAACAATACCATATAGGTACTTAAAACATAATCACAAACACAACGGCCTGCAACGCACTAAACTAAATTATACTATATATATAAACTAAATTATATATTATATAGATGTATATAATATTTAATTTAGATAGTTCTTTACTTTTAAGCCTATATACACTTTTAAGTTTTTTTTTTAACCTTCCGGCGGGCGCACGTCTTTTGTGCACGAGTTCGGGCGCAGTGATCTGACAGATTCAATTTTCAGATAGGCTTAGTAAAGTGCTTTTTTATATTTTTTACCAAATAAATAATTAACAATACTTTTTATAATACTATATACTAACTTATAAAATACTATACATACATAAAATGCGCAAATAAAATCAAATATAACTAATTTTTTGCACTTTATTTAGAAAGCCGTCTAATACCCGATTCTCAAGTACATGGTAAACATCTTAGTTTTTGAGGTGGTTGTTCTTCTTCTTGCTGAATTATCATAATATAATATTATTATTAGTCCGGTCAAATTAGACCAAAAAATAACAGTGAAGGTACATAAATTTACAACAAGCTGAAAATCAGTAAAATTGTTCAGAATATAATTATAAATAAAATTTTAAAGTTCCCCATCATTCCCCTGTATGGAAAAATTTTTATTCAAGGTCAAAGGTCAAAAAAATTAGTTTTTCGCGATTTTTATCAAAACGGTAAGTTTTATCATAAAAATACCCTAAACAAAATTGTAGATCATAAAATTATCTATAAAAAATGTATTAATACCTTTTTTCCTACGAGCCACCGTTTCTGAGATATAACGATTCGAAAAGTTGTAAAAGTTGTAATCGTCATAATATGCACGTCACGTATCTCTAGAGTTGAAATATATGTTAAAATATTTTTCTATAGGTCATTTTAACTTACACTTAAAATCTGTCACCTGTCACCTGTCATCTTTCATCTGTCACCTGTCATCTGTTACCTGTCATTTGTCCCTGTCATATGCCACCTGTCATTTACCACCTTATCGATTTGATTTCGAGGATTTTAATTGGTTAACTTTTTTAAATACCCAACAAAAATTAAACGGGCTTCTGGCCGATTAGTTTTTATTCGATGAAGCTCATCTTTTATTATGTCAAACTTTGGTCTTTTTCCCGTCGATTCGTGTATTTCGTTAGCCAATTTCGAAAATTTCTCTCGACCTAAAAAACGTTTGAAAATTTTTCGAAAAAAATAAAAAAAGAACGCTGTTCGAAAAGTTGCCGGCGTATCCGGCCCGTTTGCAATATTTATTTTTTCCGTTGTCTGTATATCCTCTTTTTCTAAGCACCGTAGCTCGGAGGCCGTTGAAGGTGGAAATTTGCATCCTTCTTTTCTGCCCACGAGACCTATCCGCGGACCAAATTTTCCGGTGTCGAAAAGGTCCAAGTCCACTTTTTTACGATTTTCCGTCAAATTTGGCACGTTCCGTTGTCTTCGCTTAACTTTCGAACGAGCCGAGATTTTTCGTCCAAACTCGAGGAAAAGGGTCTTCGGGACAAGAAGTTATCGTCATTCAATTTCTTCTTTCTATATACGGAGCTCCTAAAAAAACTACTTGCTTTGATAAGTATCGATATGCATGTTTCGTTAAAAATTCTAAAAGTAAAAAACAAGTTCAATTAGCTTGTCTTCCTCCAACCTCAGTTGCTGCTCATCAACATCTTTTTCGGGTATATTACCATGTTCAAGTGTGGCTTGGTTATTAGCTAGACCCTACAGACTAGGGTTGGAAGTTGGTCAACAACACATTAGAACCAGTTCAAACTTTACTCCCACCTGCGCCGGAAAAACTGCTGAACACAATTTTTTGCAACTGCAAAAAGGGATGCAGTGCTAAATGTGGTTGCAAAAAAGTCGGACTGTTTTATTCTCTGGCATGTACGAATTGTCAAGGCCGGTCGTGCTCTAATCTTGAATCACCAACAGTGGAGGGTTCATTTAATTCCAACGAGGTGAGATGCGATACATCGCTATTGACGCAATTTACTTGAACCCAGGATGAAGATGAAGAAGAAGAAAAACAAGAAGAAGAACAAGAACAAGAAGAAGATCAAGAAGAACAAATCAGACGAATAAACTTCAGTACTTTTTTTAAATTAAACATCGCTATTATCTTTTTCAATCATTGCTATTATTGCTATTATTTTGCAATAGTTTCAAATTAAACAGAATCACAAGTGACCCGTGAAATAGGCCTACTGGGGAAACCACGTTTAAAAACGCGCTTAATAAACTACCTCATGGGTGGCGTGGAAACGTGTGCATATTATGGCGATTATAACTTTTACAACTTTTCGAATCGTTATATCTCAGAAACGGTGGCTCGTAGAAAAAAAGTATTGATACATTTTTTATAGATTATTTTATGATCTACAATTTTTGTCTGGTGTATTTTTATGATAAAACTTACCGTTTTGATAAAAATCGCGAAAAATCATTTTTTTGACCTTTGACCTTGAATAAAAATTTTTCCATACAGGGGAATGATGGGGAACTTTAAAATTTTATTAATAATTATATTCTGAACAATTTTACTGATTTTCAGCTTGTTGTAAATTTATGTACCTTCGAATGTCTAGATTGACCGGACTATATAAATTTAAGTAAAAATGCATCCAAAAATTATAAATCAATACTTTTGTTCATAAAAAGTTAAAATTTTGTAAATATTAAATTATAACGCAATCGGGCGCACTGTATCTAGCAGATCAAAATGCCTGCCACCACCTTACAAGGCGATCAAACACAAACTGCAGTAGACATATCGGTAGAAGTCCTAAAAATATGAAGCTACTGAAGGGTGGGTAGTTATGCCTATAAAAACAGTGCGTTCGCGAGTAATATTTTAACTGGTGTATCTCTTAGATCGGTTGCGCCCGCCGGAAGGTTAAGGTTTATTGACTTTTAGTCTTTTCGACTATTTAGCCAGCTCATTATTATATATTTTTATGCTCGACAAACAAGCACAACACCCAAGGCTGTGACCGGGAATCGAACCCGGTACCGTCACTTTTTATTTTTAAATTAAAACATTAACTGTCAAATCCAGGCTGTGTTGCCAGGTCGCTTTTTAATTGTGGCGCCACCGCTCTACTTGGTAAGTTGGCAACACCGAAACCTTTGGTACGAAAGAATGGAACAAACCCCAAGAAAACAAGCAACACCGCAGCCGGCAACGATGCAAGGCAAGGGTTGGCAGCAGCGACAGAAAATGACAGAAGCATCCAAAATAGGCAACCAAGATTTCACAAATCTTTCAAACAAATTGTATGATTATATTCAATTTGTTTTTTTGGGAAGGAAATTTCGCAAAAAGTACTGAAACTATAAAAGGCACTGACGTACTGACAAACCTTGAAAAGTACTGATTTCAGTACAAAAGCACTGGCACTGGCAACCCTTTCTTTAAGAACCACATTTTCTTAGGAACCCCAGATAATAGCAAAACCTTTTTTTGTTGTGTATTATTAGTTAAAAGCGGTATATTTGTTATATGCGGTATACCGCTAGAGGCGGGAGTCGCACCATTTGTATATTCTTCAGGATGATTTTAACTTTTCGTCGATTGTCCTTATGTTCTGTGGTCATTTCAGTTCGCGACGGCTTGCCAACGCTGTGCATGTTTGTTTTATTTCATTTTTGGTAAGGCAGTTCGCTGCAGTTATACAATGATATAAATTTTAAATGATATATATATATATATATATATACATATATTTCGTCAAAGTGGCACCATTTATAGGTGACAATTGTCTAAACGGCACCCAATTTTACCATGTGGCACCCGGTTTTGGGTGCCGTTACGTTTTGAGTGCTTGTCAGCCCTATGTTCATATAAGGGCATAACGAAGCGTCTGGCAAAATTTCGATTGGGTGCCGGATTGACCATAATTCTGAATTTACATACTGATTAGTTCGACCATCCTCCGATGGGGGCGCTGCGGTGCATACAAGTTGGTAAATAGACGCAAAGTGGCACCATACAATTATGTTTGCTCTCTGGCACCATAAATTTGGCAACACCGCTTTCTTTTTCAGAAGTCAACTTATTTTTAACGCTTCGTTTGGCGCGCGAATACATCTTGGCGTGCGGAATTGCAACAAAATACCTTTATTGATATAATATATCATATTATGCTCAACACAACATTTGTTATAAGTAAATTTGTTACTGTTTTATTTATTTATTTTTAAAATATTATTGTGTAGGCAAGAAGTCAAACAAAATATCTAATTTTTAATGTATATTTCTACGGCATAAAAATAAAACAATTAATTTAGTTTAAACGATACAAATAATATATAGTAAAATATATTAAATATATTAAATTTTATGTAATTATACAACATTTTTATCGTTTATATTTATTGTTTTATAAATCCTAAATATTTTATTAAAAT